TTTTTTTTTTTATTTCTATACCTAAATGTTCAAACAGTTCATTTTATTATACAAAATTTTGAAATTACAATATTTTATTCGAATGTATAAGTTGAAATACTTCAGCATTAAAAATTCGCAGGCGAAAAATAAGCCCCTATGACATTGGCTTCAATTCAGATATTTAAGGTTAATTTTCAATGATTCTTCATGCCATTTGCCGTAAATCTGAATTAAAGTCAGCTAGAAAAATTTTAATTTTTTGCACTAATATAGTGCAACTATAAAAAAAAGTAAAAAGATGATGATAATGATTTTGATGATAAATTTCGATTTTAGTGATTGAAAATTCAATCATCATTTAATTCTGCAATTAATATGAAATTAGTAATAATTCAAATCATAAATAAATTGAAAACATGTAAAGGTCATTTGGCCGAGTGGTCTAAGGCGCCAGTTTAAGGCACTGGTCCGCGAGGGCCTGGGTTCGAACCCCAGAGTGACCATTTTTTTAAATACTTTTTTTTAATTTTATTGTTTGAAAATATCATAGGGTTCATCAGAAGCTATTCGACTCTTACGGGCATGAATACGAATAATCTATTTGTTCACATATTCTTAGACTCATATAAAGACTTAAGTTATGAATTCTAGGTTTTAACTCCATTCTGCAAAATAATATATAATTTGGATATCTCGAAAATATGTTAATTATTAAATTTTTAAGCAATATAATATCCACATAGGTATTAAATTATATTTTCACAAACCAATGGTGTCTAAAATCTTATAATGTCATAGGAAATCACGATAAATATTTCTTCTGTTATAGACCGAAAATAGATTTTTTCGGTTTTCTCTTCAAATAATTGAAAGAATGATACTATTATAGGTTTATTATATTATATAGCATATAATCATGCTATAGCCGAAAATTATAAGTTTTGAGAAGATTGAATATAACACAAATAAATTTGAATGTAAGTTAAATTGCTTGTTGTTTTTAATAGCTATTCAATGAGAAATCCACTTTTGCAAAATTCAAATTGAATGATTGAAAACAGAAAAAGTCATTCTTTTCAATTTCGAATATGTTTCATTGTATTTATAATTATATGGCAAATAAGATATTTAAACTTGATTTTGAAGGAAAATTCACAAAATTGAATGAATTCAAATAATTTTTATTCAAAAATAAACTAGTTATTGAGTTTAATACTAATTATCTATTCAAACTACAAAGTTTGTAATTTAAAATATTTTGTGAGATCAGATTGAATTAATTCAAGTTCTTTTCAATTAATATTAATGACCATATACGCATTTTCGAACATTCTAACCAAATATATAAAAATGGGAGACGAATGTTAAATTTGCTAGACATGGGGGAGTTGTCTGCAAAGTTTTAGCTCTTATCTCTAACAAAAAATTAATTTTTAAAAAAAGACCGAATACGTTTCACAGCGAGAAAAAAATAAAAGGCAAGATAGAATTTTCTAGACATAAAGAAGTTGTTTACCGAGTTTAGCTCTTATCTCTAACAAAAATTAATTTTTAAAAAAAAGACCGAATACGTTTCACAGCGAGAAAAATAAAAGGCAAGATAGAATTTTCTAGACATAAAGAAGTTGTTTACCGAGTTTTAGCTCTTATCTCTAACAAAAAATTAATTTTAAAAAAAGACCGAATACGTTTCACAGCGAGAAAAAAATAAAAGGCAAGATAGAATTTTTCTAGACATAAAGAAGTTGTTTACCGAGTTTTAGCTCTTATCTCTAACAAAAAAATTAATTTTTAAAAAAAAGACCGAATACGTTTCACAGCGAGAAAAAAATAAAAGGCAAGATAGAATTTTCTAGACATAAGAAGTTTTCTACCAAGTGTCAGCTGTTACTTCTTCTCAATACTGATTAATAAAAAAATCTTTATTATTTATTTAACCTTTATTGTTTCATTAAACTTCATTTATTTTATATTATAGTTTTATTCTTTTAGCTACTTGTAAAATAATCTAATTTTATATCATCATTTTACCGGATTATTCTTCAGTACATCGATTGTGTATCTAAAATAATATTATTATCCTTATTCTGTTTTTTCCAAAATTCTTTTAAATATCTTTTTTGGTTAGATTACTTTATACTTTTTACTTTTATTTTTTAATTTCAAAAAAATTTGGTGATTGTTCTATTCTGTTACAATGTGCATTATCATATTCTAATGAATTATTCATTACATACATTTAAAAAAACTTGTTAAAAATGAAATTAAAAAATTATGTTTATTATTACGCTGTGAATGTGTCAACAGCGGTCATGCCTGTATCTGTATCCATATTTGCCACAACCTTTCTGTATCTGCATTTGTGTATTTCGGTTTCAGCTGATACATTTGATTTGGCGTGTAATTTGTTCCAGTTAATGGATTAATTGGGAGATCTTCAATGCGGTGTGTTATTATTGTACTCCCAAATAAAGGCAGGAATAGCCTGAATGCTTTGGCAGCGCTCCAATGTCGGCCAGAATCTCTCAATCTTCCCATTTTGGTAGGGAGAATGAGAGTCTGTATGCCGCCATTGGACGCCCCAAAGATCAAGTAGATCTTGAAAGGCGCCCTATTTTTGAACCGTTGTCGTCCAGAAACAATAAGGGGCGCCAAATTCAATGAAGGCGGAAGCCGCAACGTTCGCTGTCGTCGCTGCCAGCATATCTGGTATTTGTATACACGCTAGGACTTTGCGGCTAAAATCGTCGATTATGCCATAAATATACTGGCCACGAACACCCCTAAAATAATGAACATCTGCGTGCCAGATAAGATTGGGTGAAAGCGCCCAATATCTTACTGCTGTTTCTGGCCCGGCATGCTCTAATCGCGTCTTGGTGAAATGATTTTCTTTGAAGTATCTGCGTACTTCTCTATAAGATACATCAATTTGTTGTAATTTCAAACGTTTCCATTGTTTTGTTTGACCACAGGGAAAGGCCCGGTGGTCATGTATCACAGCAAGAGCTTTGATTTGGTCGTAGGGATTGACCCTACGACCTTTCTTGCCTTTAGGCAATGGGATATTCTGTAAGCTAAATTGATTTTGTAAAAAAGATTTTGAAACATCTAAATATTTGAAATCATTTGATTGAAGGGTTTGGGCGATGGGAACATGGGTGCAAGCTTCTTCCCATGTCATTTTACCTTCTTCAATCTGATTGGAAATACCAATTAGGTAAATTCGATCGACATACCCTTTGTAAGGATTCATTCTAATGAAGTACGTTAACAATCAAAATATTCTATAAGTGTCTAGTATGGAATTCAAAAGAATAAAGAAAATGGTAACGTAAATAAACGTATTATGAAATAATTTATAATTAAAATGAAAAAAAAGAAAAAATAATAAGTAAAGTGACTGGAAATGAAAATGAAAATCAGTGTACAGTTTTATTTTTTTCTCGCTGTGAAACGTATTCGGTCTTTTTTTTAAAAATTAATTTTTTGTTAGAGATAAGAGCTAAAACTCGGTAAACAACTTCTTTATGTCTAGAAAATTCTATCTTGCCTTTTATTTTTTTCTCGCTGTGAAACGTATTCGGTCTTTTTTTAAAAATTAATTTTTTGTTAGAGATAAGAGCTAAAACTTTGCAGACAACTCCCCCATGTCTAGCAAATTTAACATTCGTCTCCCATTTTTATATATTTGGTTTAGAATGTTCGAAAATGCGTAATATGGTCATTAATATTAATTGAAAAAACCTTGAATTAATTCAATCTGATCTCACAAAATATTTTAAATTACAAACTTTGTAGTTTGAATAGATAATTAGTATTAAACTCAAATAACTAGTTTATTTTGAATAAAAATTATTTGAATTCATTCAATTTTGTGAATTTTCCTTCAAAAATCAAGTTTAAATATCTTATTTGCCATATAATTATAAATACAATGAAACATATTCGAAATTGAAAAGAATGACTTTTTCTGTTCTTTCAATCATTCAATTTGAATTTTGCAAAAGTGGATTTCTCATTGAATAGCTATTAAAAACAACAAGCAATTTAACTTACATTCAAATTTATTTGTGTTATATTCAATCTTCTCAAAATTATATATTTCGGCTATAGCATGATTATTGCTATATAATATAATAAACCTATAATAGTATCATTCTTTCAATTATTTGAAGAGAAAACCGAAAAAATCTATTTTCGGTCTATAACAATAAATATTTCTTCACACATTTTTTTCTTGATGTTTTTTTTAATAAATTAAAAAACTTCATTATCAAGAGGGTGTACCATTATCCTTAAAAATTTAAGTATTGTAAACTTCTCAATTGTCTATGATAAGTGGTAAAAAGTGAGTATTGTAAACATCTCAATTATCTACGATAAGTGGCAAAAAGTTAAAACAAATTTTCATCAAAAATTTATATTATTCACTTTAAGGTTCTGACACTTATCGTAAAAACGTATTCATCCAATAATTAAGTTTCAATTAAATAATCCAAACGAGATCCTTAGAGTATAATATCTATATCCGAATGAGTAATGAAATATATCCTTTATTCAAAATTTTTGTTTTCCGTCTAAGTCGAATAGCTTCTGGTTTATCTTCATCTATTCTAATCTTATCTGTATATCATATTTATCTACAGTAAATTTTGAAATCACTAAGTTGCGCGGGAATATAAAGTTTAGCATCTTGTATGCTTCTAAACTTTATATTCCACACATTGCAATATGAGTAATGTTAATTTGGAAATAAAAACTTTTTTGGAATGTCCAATCTTTCGATTGGAAATTTCAAGCACGCCATACTTCAAATTCCGACGGTTTTTCCAATTGAACTTTATTTACATAAATAGACTTAATATTTACATAAAAATGAAAACAATTTTTCTTCTATAATAAGAAAGAAAAACAGATCATTCTAAGAATTCTTGGTAGGTTATGAGCTCTTGAATTCTCAATATTATTATCATGATTTTTTTTCCCTATTTCGTTTTGGATTTTTTTTCGTGATATTAGAAACCAAAGCATCCATTACATCTTCCTAAGTAGTCTCTGAAATCACCTGGAGGTTTTGGACAGAACTTTTCCATCTGATTAAACAAGAATGGATTCCAATGAACTTGATGAATAATTGCAACTGTAAGATCATTTCTATTAATGCCTGTAGCATTTCCAAGGTTCTCGCCGTTTTTGATACCCATCATTGCTAAATGTCTGACGTTATCATTCGAAATATTCACGGAAATTCCGAATTTCTTAAATAAACCGCCATAGGCCCATCCGTTTATGCATCCTTGATCAACTAAACCCTTTCCAAACTGGAAATTACCTAAGTATGCTCTGAAAAAACTCTTCATTACATCTGCATCGCCTCCAAAATAGCCTGCGCAGATGGTATTTAATGAATTGAGCTTTTTATTTGATAAAGGAGCGCAACTAGAGATCCAACCGCGATTTCTACCATCGAAAACGCGTCCTTCGTCGGCTAAATGTAATTGATTTTTCGGAAAGTAGGCGTTGAATGGATCACCTTGGAAAACTGTATCATATAAGTCGCAGATAATAATTCTATTTAGTTTGTGAAGATTTAATCCGATGAAATTATGAATCTGAATATAAGGATCAGACCAATGGTCTTCATATCCCGTGTATGTTGGTTTATGATAGTTTATGAATTGACCACCACACTTGAGAACGTAGTTTTTGGTGTCGTTACTAACATTTGATAAAAATTCGTCGGTAACAAAAAATATAACGCTGCAATTCGTGCCAGTTTGGCGTAATGTTCTAATAAATATAACCATGTTATATGGTCTGCTTGTTGTGTAGGAAATAACAACATCATGAATATTACTATTGGCTAGATTATTAGACGAGTTGAAATTGCATGCGTCACACATAGTTTTGTCTTTAGTAAAATGGATTTTATAGTCAGTTTGTATATAATTTTCGAGATTTTGTTTGAATGGAAATAAACTTAATTCTGCTTCGAGGTCGATATAAAAGTTACGATAACTGTCTCTTATAGAATCTGACATAACTAGCAAAATAGATATTATCACAAGTGCTAGTGAAAACATGGGAATTAAAACGTACTAAGGATTTTGACTTGGTAGATTCATGAATAAAATATCTATTTAGGGGGGTGGATATCAATTTTGGAGACGTTAAATATTGTCCAAGTGGCCCCCAACAAGAAATAATATCAAATTGCCCAAACATGCCCCCAACACACAAAAAACACAATGATTGAGGACTGTAAACGCATTCAAAATAAAGTGGTTTTAGAAATAAGTCAGTAGTCATAATTCTAAATTGAGAATATAACCGTTTTATCTCCTCAATAATCCTTTACCATTGATATTTTGATTTGGGTAAACAACGCCTTCTTGGTAATACATTTATATTTGATGCAGTAATGCGCATTGCTGCACCATTTACATTTGCGTTGACAAAATCATTCTTTAAGAAAAAATCATTTTCTAGTTAGCATATTTTTGAATTTTTTTCTCATTTAATTCATGAAATGATCATTTTCCATTACAAACAAGATACATGCAAATGTTTTTATATCTCAAAATTAAATATCTTATGATTTTTGATGATATTTTGTTGGAGCAGGTATATTACAGCCAATAATAATAGTTAAGGAATATACAAATATACGCAAAAAATGTGTTCCTCCATAAGGTGCTTCTCTATCTTTTTCTCATTAGAAATAAATAAAAGTGACAATTTCAAATGAAAAATTTCAATAAATTCTTTTAGAAATTGAGCGAAATAGTAGCATTTTGTACCGATGGTATATACAGGCGAAACCTTTCGATACCAAGTCAAACGAAATCGATAATCATTGATAAATCTTGTTCAAAATTAGCTATTAATTCGCTTGAGTTATCATCTCTTGAAGAAGTTAGGCTTCCTAATACATTAATTGAAATTGAAGACGATGTTTTTATTAATTCTAAAATCAAAAAATTATTTATCCCAAAATCCACCATAATTTTGAATTTTAATAATTCATTCAACTTTATGCCATACCTTGAAAGAATTGATGTAGATCCTAACAATCCTTGTTATACTTCAAAAGATGGAATCCTTTTTTCCAAAGGCTTTGATCAGATAATTCATTATCCTATGCATATAACATCTCCCTTATATATAGTTCCTCGTGCTGTTAGATTCATAAATCCTTATTGCTTTTTACAGCATGAATATATCACAACTTTAATCTTTCATGACAAAATCCTTGAATTGAGGCAAAATTGTTTTCGGTATTGCCAAAGTCTGAAAATAATAATGATTCCAAATAAGTTTTCATTACCAAAGAACTTGACAAATTCATTTATTTATTCAAATTTTCATTTTCCAGAAGACATTGTTTTTTATGATGACATTTCAGAATCATGCACATGCCATCAAAACATATTTGAATTACCATTTTTAACCATTTTTATAACTACCAGTATCATATGAATAGATTCTCTTGATTTAAAAGTTCATAAAACTTTACAATATGAAAAAAAATTGACTTTTGGTTTGTATCTCATGTGTAATATACATAGACTTAAAATGATATTTGCATGCATATTTCTATAATTCAATATCGGCTTCTCTTAAAAATTAAGGTTAACTTATATTGTCACTTTTTATTCTTATAATTAATTTCAAATTTGAAACAATTGTTACTAGGACTTGAGTGAGTTAAGAGTATATTGCAAAGATGGCGTTTATAGACAGAATACTTCAATATCAAACGAAGTCAAATCAATTATTGTTGATGAATCTTGCACAAAATTAGATATATATGCATTTTATTTATCATCATTAGAAAATGTAGCATTACCAAACACACTAATTGAGATGGAAGATGATGTTTTTAAAAATTCTAAAATTGTCAATTTATTTATTCCGAAATCAGTTACAATATTGTATCAAAATAATCCCTTTAATTATATGCCATATCTTGAACGAATTGATGTTGATCCTAGTAATCCTAAATTTGCATCAAATAACGGAATTCTTTTTTCAAAAAACTTTGATCTATTAATTCATTATCCAATGCATATTACATCTCCGTTGTATATTGTTCCTCGCACTGTTAGATATATTAATCCATATTCCTTTAATCAACATCAATTTATTGAAACAATAATTTTCCATGATAGAATATTAGAATTAAGAGTTGGCTGTTTTCACAAAACCACCAATCTGAAATCGATATTGATTCCTAATAGATTTTCGTTACCAAAGAACTTAGTTGATTCTTTTAAAGATTCAAATTTTACCTTTCCAGATAATGTCACATTTTATTTTGACATTCTTGAAACATGTAAATTTATTAGAAATAAATTCGACCTACAGTACATTTCCCTATTTATATCTTTATTGATCTTGTAAATAAAAGCTTCAAATCCACATTTTTCAAAAAAAAAGTATTTGCGAAGTTCCAAGAAGTCAAATGAAAATGTTAAAATTTTTGATACTTTGAACTGTCATATGAATTGTATGCTTAGAGTTCCTTTAAAAATTTTTACATTTAGAGATTGAAAATTATGAAATGATGTGAATTTTTTGAAAAAAAAAGTTCATTTTTTTGTTTAAATTTTTCATCACTGTCTCATTCATTTATTAGAGATTGACCGAATTACGAGTATATTGTAGCGATGGAGTTTATACATTCAATGCATCAATATCAAACCAGTACAAATCAATAATTGTAGATGAATCTTGTTCAAAATTAGATTCCAATTCACTCCATTTATCATTTCTAGAACATGTTACATTACCAAATACATTAACTGAGATTGGAGATGATTGTTTCAAAGAATCTCAAATTGTCGAATTAAATATCCCAAAATCAGTAACAAATCTGAACCAGAACAATCAATTTAACTTTATGTCGAAACTTGAGCGAATTATTGTTGAAGAAGGAAATCCCAATTATGCATCAAATAACGGAATTCTTTTTTCGAGTAATTTTGATCAATTGCTTCATTATCCAGGCCATATTGTATCTCCTATTTATGTAGTTCCTCAATCAGTTAGATATATTGGTTCATATGCTTTTTATGCTCATGAATACATTGAAACACTTGTATTTCATGACAAAATTTTAGAATTTAGATCCGGAGCTTTCCAATTTTCAACAAAGTTGAAAAATATTAGGATTCCGAGTGAATGCCCGCTACCAAATAATATTGGTGATCCATTTTATCAATCAAGTTTTAAATTCCCATATAATGTCACATTTTATGTTGACATCATTCCTACATGCAGAATGATAAAAGATTGTTCTTCTATCCGATTCTATATTTCTTTCATATTTTTTGCTATGGGATGAATAAATTCATAAACCAATTTTCCTACTTAAAGTCTCCCTATAGTTTTTCTGTGTAAATATTGAGTGAATCTCTATCAAAAATTTAAATTACTAACACATGCACACGATTAATTGAAAATATGTTTTTGAAACTATTATTTAAATAATTATGTATCATTATATTATTCTTCTTTAAAAAATTGAGAAGTTTATAATAAATTAAGGTTTACTTAATTTCGTCACTTTTTTAGTATTTTATTTTATTTCAATTTCGAAACAATTTTTACTAGGACTTGAGTGAGTTAAGAGTATATTGCAAAGATGGCGTTTATAGACAGAATACTTCAATATCAAACGAAGTCAAATCAATTATTGTTGATGAATCTTGCACAAAATTAGTTGCTTATTCACTTCAATTGCCTTCACTTGAAAACGTAGCATTACCAAACACACTAATTGAGATGGAAGATGATGTTTTTAAAAATTCTAAAATTGTCAATTTATTTATTCCGAAATCAGTTACAATATTGTATCAAAATAATCCCTTTAATTATATGCCATATCTTGAACGAATTGATGTTGATCCTAGTAATCCTAAATTTGCATCAAATAACGGAATTCTTTTTTCAAAAAACTTTGATCTATTAATTCATTATCCAATGCATATTACATCTCCGTTGTATATTGTTCCTCGCACTGTTAGATATATCAATCCATATTGTTTTAATCAACATCAATTCATCGAAGGAATAATTTTCCATGGTAGAATATTAGAATTGAGAGATGGATGTTTTCAAAATACTACAAATTTGAAATCGATATTGATTCCTAATAGATTTTCATTACCAAAGATCTTAGTTAATTCTTTTCATGATTCAAACTTTACCTTTCCAGATAATGTCACATTTTATTCTGACATTCTTGAAACATGCAAATTTATTAGAAATAAATTCGATTTACAATACATTTCTCCATTTATATCATTATTAATATTGTAAATAAAAGTTTCACATTTTTATGCATTATATTAAAGGTGCACTTACTCCTTTCTGACATTCTCTCAATTTTTTTGACACACAAGCTTTCTATCCCATTATCCTAAGGTCAAAAGTTAATATTTTTGAATGAGAGCAATAGAAAGTAGGAGATAGTAAAAATAAATCACTACGCAATACCTAATATGGCTGCTATACTTACCACTTTTTCATAGCATGTCAGAAAGTGGTAAGTGCATCCTTAAATCAATCTGCATTCAGTAGTCAAAAATGAATTTTTTGTTTTATATATTTTTATTGGATTTGATATATTTTAATGATCAACTCCAAATTTTCTCAAATTTTCAAATTATACGCATGTTCAATTTTGAATAATCTTTTTTAAACGTTTTTTGAACCGATGTAAACCCCAATACTATCAACTATATTACTTTTTAATTCTCAATTCTCAGTCAAATCCATTCAATCATTGGAAAAACTGACTTTTTCATATGGAAAAACGTATGAAATGATGTGACTTTTTATAGTCTCATTTGTAAAGCTTTCAAAATTAATGGTATGAACCCGAGATTATAATAGTGCTATAGATTTTGATTGATTTATTAGATTTTGACTGAATTACGTGTATATTGCAGAAATGGAGTTTATACGCAAGATACATCTATATCAAACAAGGTCAAATCAATAATTGTTGATGAATCTTGTAAAAAATTAGGTACATATTCACTTGGTTTAACTTTTCTTGAAAATGTAACATTACCAAATACATTAATAGAAATTGAAGATGATGCTTTTCATTCAACAAAAATCAGTAAAATTTTTATTCCGAAATCAGTTACAATATTGCATCCAAATAATCCTTTTAACTATATGCCATATCTTGAACGAATTGATGTTGATCAGAAAAATCTAAATTTTGCATCAAATAACGGAATTCTTTTTTCTAAAAATTTTGATCATTTAATCCATTATCCAATGCAAATCAAATCTCCTATATACAAAGCTCCTCCCACAGTTAGATATATCAATCCTTATGCTTTTCATGCTTACGCATACATTGAAACCATCGTATTTCATGACAAAATATTAGAAATGAGAGAAGGATCTTTTTGGAAAACCCAGAAATTGAAAAGAATAATGATTCCATATAATTTTTCACAACCAAAGCTGCTAAAAGATGCATTTTTGGAATCAAGCTTCATTTTTCCTGATAATGTCATGTTTTATGCTTATATCAAGGAAACATGCATATTTATTAGAGATAGTATTTCCTATCGTTTTGAAATATCTTTAATATTTTTAATTATTTCCTGAATAATTAATTATTAGACAAAAAAAAGTTTTTACATAGGGTGCAAAAAATGCACAAAAAAGATTATTTAAAATTGAATTTGCATATTTTCTGCGTATTTGAAAAATTTTGGAGTTGACCATTATTAAAAATCAAATTCGTTAATAAAGAATTGCAACAGTTGTCTATACAAAAAAGAAAAAATTCATTCATTTTGGACAACTTTACACAGATTTATTTTCACATACACAAATAATGCACTAGTTTTTGTTCAAATTTTGATTTCAAATAGAATGATTAGAATTGGAAAATCAAATGAAATCAAATTTTGTGACGATTACACAATATTTTTTTATATTCAGGTTGAATATTGAGTTTACAAAAAAATATATTTTAAAAATAAAATTAAAATTATTGTTTATTGTTAAGTTTTAAATTGCGAATGTTTCGGATGGTTCGTCATCAATGTATGAGGATTGATTAGGTTTCTTAAGTTGCAAGAAGAAAGTCCTAGAGTTTCCTCCATATCGAGTGACACCAATCAATGAGTCTGCAAACTGGAAAACACCACTCTTGTGGCTGACAATGATGACTTGGTGTTGGTGTGACATGTCAATCAAAAAGTCACTAACACTCTTGACATTTCTGTAATCAAGTGCAGCGTCAATTTCGTCAAGAACGAAGAGAGGTGCAGTTTTAACTGTACTCAATGCGAATGACAGTGCTAAGACCGCCAATGTTTGTTCACCACCACTCAAGTTAGAAACATTTCTGTTCCTTTTATGAGGTGGAATAACGGAATATGAAATTCCGCCATTGAATGGAATAGAAACATTTTCTGGAGTCAAAAACGCGTTTCCACCCAATGGTTGCGATTTCAATGATGTCAAACGAGGATAGAAGATGTTCAATGAGTACTGGATCTTGTCTAAACTATCTTTGAACAAACTTAATCTCTTGCGTTTGATTTCATTGAATTTTTCTTTTGTCACTTTTTGTAGATCTCTCAATTTTTTGATTTTGTTTTCTGATTCATTTTTAAGGAGTTTCAATGAATTAAGTTGATTTTGGCATCCGAAATTAGGTTTTAATTTGGATTGTGCTTCTTTCAATTGTGAAATTTCTTTCTCAAATCTTTCTTTCGTCTGTTTTTGTTGTGATGGTGTCAGTTTTGATGATAGAAAACGTGACAGTTCATTTGAGAAGTCATGTAATAAAACTTCTTCTAAACTTGAGAAATCTGATGACAAAATCTTTTCATTGATCAAATCTCGTGTTTCTTCAATGATTTTTTGTAAACTATTCGATTTGGTTTGTAATTCTGTCACTTTTTTGTTTACATTTTGTGCTTTCTTGATCATTTCTTTCTTCTGGTTTTGGCACTTGTTGAAGAGAGATTCTTTAGTGGTCATTTCACTTTTGACTTCATTCAATTCTTCTGATTTTTCTGACAATGAATTGTTTAATTGTTTCAGTTCACTTTTGACACCTGACAGAGATTTTTTGACATTTTTGATTTGGTTTTTATTGTCATTTTTCTTGAGGATGTCAATTTTTGCATTGAAATACTCAATTTTTGCTTCTTTCTCTTTCTTCTTGTTTTCTTCATCAACGAATTCGTTGTATTTAGTTTGAAACTCTTCAATACTTGAACATCCAAGAATTTCGAAAATTTTGACATGTAAATCTGTTGTAAACTCAATATTGTCAAATTTATCTTTCAATTCATTGATTTCTTTTTGTAATTGAAGAATATTTGTTTCAAACTGATCAATTTCTGTTTCTTTTGCCTGAATTTTTGTTTTTAATTCTTCAATTTTCTCTTCATTTTCATCATTTCTCTGAATTTGTTTCTTGTATTCTTCCATCAATTTTTCGAAATCATCAATTTTTGTTTTGTTTTCTTTAAGAATTATTTCGTTTTGTTTTTGGAGTTTTTCAATTTCTTCTTCAATTTCTTTGACAAATTTTGGATTAGATTCGATGATTGCGTATTTTCCACATGAAACAAATCCATTTACATGTGAAACAACACCATCAATGTCAATAATTGTTTTGTTGTAACTTGGATCACGTAATAAATTAAATATCTTCGTCTGATCTTCATAGAATTCGTAATCTTTGAACAAAAACTGTAACAAAGGTTTGTATTCTTTAGGATAACTCAATAAATTAATCATCGAATTCTGTGTCAAAATTTCGGAATTTTCTATTTCATCAAGTGAGATAAAAGTGACACCAGAAAGATTGAATGTTTTCAATGTTTTGATACATTGTTTGATGACACTTTTTGAATCAACAACGATCAAATTAGAAAAAGAAGGCAATAAAGCAGAAACAGCTTTGTCGTATTTCTGGCGGATTGATGAAACAAATTGGATCAAAAACCCATGAATTCCTGAGATTTGATTACTTGGATTTTGCAAGATATCGAGGATATTGTATCTGTTCTTGCACTGATTATCGGAATTGATCTTTTGTCTCTCGTCATTCAACAATTTCTGTTTTTGCAAAATAATATTTGAAAAATCATTTTGCAATTCAGGTTCATGAGGCATAACAAAGTTAGCTATCTTCTTGGAGATCATTTCTTCATACTCTTCTTTCAAGTTTTGTAAATTTGACTTTGAATTTTGAATATTTTGTTCCAAAATTCGTTTTTCGTCAAGTTTTGATTGGTATTCTGCATGAACAACTGTATTTGATGAGTTAATCTTGTTGTTTAACTCAATCATTTCCTTCTTGTATTCATTTTTTACAGAGTTTCTCGATTCAATTTGTAAAATGTCACTTTTTAATGAAGAAATTTCCATATTTTTTGTGGTTATTTCATCATTAATTTGTTTGTCATTTAACAAAAGTTTTGAGAGTTTGCTGTTCAGCTCTTCTTCTTTGTTCTGGGTGATTTTGATCTCGTTTTCCAACGAATCAAAATTATTTTGCAATTTTTTCATCTTCTTCTGTGTTTCTTTGTATTCATGACGGGCTGCATTGATTGCTTCATCACTGTTCTTGGCTGCTTCGTTGTAATTTGATAGTTCTTCTCTCAATTTTTCGAAATCTTTTTTATTATTTTCGAAATCAGATTGAGAATCTTTGAGAATCAGTGATGATTGGCATAATGTGAATGAGTTCTCTTCTTTCTCCTTTTCTTTGATCTTCAAATCCAAATCATTATACTCATTCACAATTTTTGCCTCTTCTTTGACAGATTTGTACCTATCTGTGATACTGATTCTCTCTTCTTCTGCTGTTGTCAGGTTTTCTTTGACTTTTTTGAGGTCATCTTCAAGATGGTCGTACTGTTCCTTGTAATCGATCGATCCTGAGAGCTCCTCGATTAGCTTCGTAATTCCTTTCGGGTTTGTTGAGGCTAAATTACCAACTTCGCCTTGGAAAATAATGTAGGATTGGAATTTGTTATGAAAACCAACTTCGTTCAAGCTGTCTTTGTAGTCTGAGGCACTAACCTTGGAGCCATTGACGTAGTATGTGGAGCTTGAGTTCGTAACCTTTCTTTTGAATACGATAAGATCATTTAGCTTTCTGACGGTCATTTCGACTGAAGCTGAGGTAATGGTATCATCTGCGTTGCATATAAGTTCTGATAGTTCCTTGCATCGCATCGAAGAAGCAGGCGCTGCTAAGACAAAACAAATTGCATCGAAGCAATTGCTTTTTCCTGAGGCATTAGAGCCTATAACAGCTACAAAGTCATCAAAAGGTCCGATTTCGTGGACCCCTTGATAAGATTTGAAGTTCTCGAGTCGGAGTTTCTCGATCTTCATTTTGCTAATTAAGATGATGTATGTCACTTTTCGTATGATGTGATTTTATAGCGACAATACATGTAGCTCTATTAGTGTCTAAATAAAAAGAATTTTCTGGTTTTGTTCGCAGTTAACTCAATTAGATCCGAATTATAAAAATTAGTTCAAAAAATCATGAAAATAGATGAAATATAGTAATGATTCTTGTTGTTAGTTATCAATTTATAACTTAATTTAGATAGCGGCCTTTATATTTTATACAACAAATTTTTTATAGAGTCTTTTTCTATCATAGAATGAAAAATATTACACTTAGTAGCTATACTTCAATATGCCTGGGCAATTATTCAAAAAACTTGTATTTTCTTTTAAATTTTTTAAAAATATCAATGAATAATGGTAATTTTTAGATCATAAAGCTCAAAATCTGATTATTATGCATTTATCATTTATTTGCAAGAGACATGTAATGGTTTCTTCAGTTTGTATTTCTCGTTATTCTAATAAAAAGTGACAAGATTTTATGAAAGTTGTACATATTTCACCGAAAAAACAAGAAAATTCATTTAAACCGAAGGCAAGAGATGTTAAACGGGAAGTTCCTGCCGTTGATATTCGATTACCGGAGGTAGATCCTATTTTTAAAGAAACTCTGGATTTTAGAACGATGAGAAATCAAGAAACTCTAACTCCAGTACTACAAGCAAGATTAGATCATATCAGAAGTATTAAACAAGAAAGACCTAAAACAGCCGTTTATGTAAAAAAGAGAAATGAATTGCCTTTGATACAAAGAAGGATCGATTATACAAAAAATACAAAAGAAATGCTATATATAAAGAAGACTAGACAGATATCGCAATTCTATCATGATCCAATAGAAACAATTTACTTTAATCGAACGCAGAATACAGCACCAAGCTATGAGAATATGCAAACATCCGATATTAATCCTGTCTCAAGAAAAATACCTTCTTCTTTGAATCCTAGAGCTCGGCCAGTAATATTCTTTTAATTTATTTCAATATAGACCAAAAGCAATTCTATTACTTCATTTTCATCTGTATTATGGTTAGTGAACGATGCTCAAACTACATTTTTTGAAAATTTTATTTTCAAAAATTTATTTCTTTTTATTTCTATACATTATTGATTAATATTCATGATATCCTAAGTGTTTTGACTTGATCCAAACACATAATATGTTCAATTCCTTCAGTTTGAAATATTCAGATTTATATTAGTTTATTTTTGCTAAGTGTTGCTTTATATTGGACCTCACCAAAGCATACGCTATGCATATTTCTTGTTTATATTTACATTTTATTTATATCAATAAAAAATTGTTTGTATTAATTTTTTTTTTATTTCTTTACTTTTCTTCAATAAACATATATAGCTTGCATTTATATGAATGCCGTTTCATACAGTTGAGAAAAAATAAAGATCTTATCATCAGCTAATTTAAATTTAATTGAAATTGTTAATCGCTTGAAATTTAGATCTCAAATTTAGAGTAAATAGCGTTTACAAAAGAAATCATTTGGTTAAAATGTTTTCAGAGGATTCAATTTTTTGTTAGGATGATCGTGGTTTATTTCATTTAGTTTTCTTTTCATAAATCAATATTTTGTATATAATTGAATAATGTTCTTTAAACAATAATAATTCATTGAACTCCGATTAAGTTCAATATATTTCTGAAATGAAATTCTGAAAGTGTTTACAATTTCTGAGGATAAATTTTATAACTGAACTTAAGGATGTCAATTTGGAAGAAAAGTGAGAAAATTCCTAAAATGCTAAAAATGAATTTTCCAAACGTACTTTTTGATCTCATTTTTTTGATTTTGAAAAAAATTTGGAGAGAAGAACTCTTCGTTTTTGAATTTTGCCACGATGGTTTTAAAGTATATTAGACACATGTATTGATATTACTATTTTTGTATATTTTGAGAGAAAATCCCTAAAAAGTGAGAAAATCTGAAACGGTTTGAGAAAATATATAAACTATTGAAAATTTGAATTAAACTTCTAATTTGGAAAAAAGAAATTTGGAAAGAAGAAAATTCAAAAATCGAGATTTAGACTCAGTATCAAATGGAGAACAAAATGTTTCTTCATATGAAGGAAAAAATTTTCTTGAGAAGAAATAGAGTTTTTAAAATTTTATTGTATGTAATGAAATAAACAAATATTAAAATTATTTTTTGATAACAAGAAAATTCCCAACAGAAAATATTTGAGACAAAGAAAAAAAGAAAATTGAAAAATATTACTCTCCTTTACATTTCATGAGATTTTCAATTTATTTTCATAAAATTGACAATTTTATACGTTTAGATGAAAATAAGTGATTTTGCTTGAAATAAAAATTATTGTTTGTTTACAGCTATCAAATAGATTTTTGCTATTTTGATTAAAATTTGTTAATCAAATTAATAATTTTTTTTCTAAATATCTTAAATATCTGGATCACTCACTGATACGATGAATTAAACGATAAAAATAATACAAACTCAACTAAGTTTCCTGTCTTTCAACCAAAAAATATTATGCAATTTAAATTAAATTGTTTATTCAAAGATAAAACAAAGATAAAGTAATTATAATTATCATATACTTTATGAATAACTCTCTAATTGGATAAGATTTTCGTACAAATATTTTTATTAATATCGATAAGAATATGTTTACCTACTATCACCATATGTCGATAAACGAGAGTAGAGTGATTTTTATCATCGAAACTTTTTAAAAGCTGTAAGCAGGAAGTAATAATCTTGTTTTTTCTGAGTTAGTTGTAGAACTATTGATGCCCGAGTTATCATTGTGATGCAGAAGGATATCAATGTACTGACTGAAGGATATGAATTGAATTGAATTTTATTGAATTTCAATTTGATCAAAATTTGTTGAAATGATATGAATGTGTCAACTTCTGTATCATTCTCCTTCACTCCTTCCTTATTCTTTCGAGAACGAAGCTAGCTCAGCTTTCGCTGAGCGAATTGACACTTTTCATGCCCTAAACGTACATACTCTCAAATTTATCGAAAAAATTAATACCACCTAAACTAGTATATTCTTATTTTAAATATGATATTATCCTTATATTCCACACTAAAATTCATCTAAATCAACTTTTTAAAAAAGTTCGAATCCTGCGCGTCTCACTTTTTAAATTTTCCAAATGGAAAATTATATTCTCCTAAAGTGAAAACAATTTTCCAAATTGACTTCCTTATTTGTTGAAAATCATATCGAAAAGCGGGTATTTTTATTATAATCTTAAGCTTGTTTTCGATATTCAAAGATTAAAATATCAAACAGGGAAAATAAAAAGGCCATTATTATACATAACTTCATGACATTTGTTAAGATGGCTCATGTCTTCAAAATTAATAACAAAGATCAAATTCAAATTAATTTTTCTCAAACAAGTTATAAAATTATGCATTCATACATCAAACTTATGGAACTAGAAATCATTTCAAGTTCCAAGGTGCTCAGATATAGCTTGAATTTCCGAAATTTAAAATTAATGGCCACCACAAACTATCAGAAATTCTGAGAGTAGAAAATTCATAATTTGTATTAAGATCATAAACTCATTTGTCCATTTATCTAATCATGTTTCCTGATATGATCAAATTGAAAAATTAAATTCACTGAAACTTTAAGCGTAAACTAGTTTCATGACATACATTCAAATAGAGCTCATTATATTTTAAATAATATAAAAAAAAAGAAGATATAAACAAATTATTGCGGTAGATCTGTTCTTTGATATGAATATATAAAAAATAAGATGGTAATTAATTTTAATACTACATATACACACAATTTATCTGATTGTATAATCAAAATCCAAGGTCAAAATCGTTAAAATTGTTAAAGTCAAAGAGCTCAAAGTTCTCTTGATCCTTAGCAGGTTTATCCTGTGGAAGAGTCTCTATATATGAAATAGGATCCAAGGTATTTCCATATGTTTCTCTCTTTTGTTTATCTCTTTCTTCTTGACGCATGAGAAGAGCATAGCGACTCTTGATGTTGATATCTGTGCGGCCATTGAACTCTTTGGCAATAAGTGACCACTTGCGACCATAGAAGTCAACAAGTTGAAGAAGTTTAGCATCGTCTTCTTGACTCCATGGACTGCTGTTCAAGTTTGGACTCAAGTAGTTCTTATATCTGTCACGACACTGACGTGCGTTTCGACTAACCATGTACTCACTGACTTTCTTCCAGTTACTTGGACCTAAAACACTAACAAGCATTCGCAACTTCTGATCCTCTGATGGAGTAAATTTATCCTTTGGATGTGGCTTTCCAATTGGTGACATACTTGATTAAAAATGAATTTAGAAAAAATTTTTATTGAACTTTTTTTTCTATATGATTGTCAAATATTTGAATGAGCTAAATGAAAATATCAATACTTTTCATAAGATCGTCACGACTCATTGAGCATTAAGAATGCATCGAAAATTAAATATTTCTTATAAGATAATAAAAAAAATTTTGACGAATGTGATTTAAATAGGAATTATTTTTTGTGAGAATACTTTATCATTGTTTTTTGGAAATATGCATTAGAATATCATTGCTGAAAAGTTAATTGAAATTGTAATTTCAATATGATAGTTTATCTGATTGAAAATATTTTCAAATTTGAGAAAAAAATTTTAAAGTATTGTAATCCAGGAAAACATGATTTTATTATATAATTACTGATTAGTTACAATAACAGAAGAGAAATTCTCTTTAATTTTCGCAGTATACTTGGCTATGAAAAAAATATGTGGGCAATAAGATCTATATAGAGTTTATCAAGAAAATAAGCAACAAAAAATTACTGGTCTTTTGATTGAAGCTGACAATTGTCCTTTCAAAAAAATAAAATTGAATTGGATTATGGGAATTTGAAAGGCTTTGGACAAATAATTAAAATCTTTAAATAATGGTTAATATTTAGTATTTATAGGGAGTGGTATAAAATATTTTTTATCAGTCAATTTCCACCAATTTCAATTAAACACTCTTTTGGGTTCAGTGGGATGTACTGATATAGTTATTATGTCATATGCATGAAATAGATTTTGATTTTATATCAGTTAGTAATTTAATAAAGTTATTAGTAAGAATGGCATGAGACATGGAAAATGAAGTTTTCATGAATACCACTTTATTTCATATCTATATGTTGAACTAAAATCATGAATTTCTTACAATTCTGATATCAATTTGTTAGAAATTAGCAATATAGCCATGATCAAAGAATACCGAACTTGATATACTCGTGTATTGTTATGTTTGTGCACTAATTTTGATTTAAACTGTTTATTTGAAACTGAATAAGAATTGACGTTTCAAAAATATAACATTATTTAATTAAAACTAAAATCTCTATTTACTTTTAATAAGAACAACTATATATTATTTCCAAATAGTAATGAATCTTCAAGATTAAATTATCATTAAAATCAAACAAAATAGTTTGATTGAAATAAGCTGGTTGTTGATTTTGATTTGATTCATGAGGGTATGACGTCTCAGATATATTTTCGAATTGAATTTCTGGTTCGGAAGAAAGGAACATTTTCTTTTGTTTATCTCTTTCTTCTTGACGCATGAGAAGAGCATAGCGACTCTTGATGTTGATATCTGTGCGGCCATTGAACTCTTTGGCAATAAGTGACCACTTGCGACCATAGAAGTCAACAAGTTGAAGAAGTTTAGCATCGTCTTCTTGACTCCATGGACTGCTGTTCAAGTTTGGACTCAAGTAGTTCTTATATCTGTCACGACACTGACGTGCGTTTCGACTAACCATGTACTCACTGACTTTCTTCCAGTTACTTGGACCTAAAACACTAACAAGCATTCGCAACTTCTGATCCTCTGATGGAGTAAATTTATCCTTTGGATGTGGCTTTCCAATTGGTGACATTTTAATTTATGGATTGCTATTACTATAATGAGGTTATTATCGTCGACCTAAACTTGTATCAAAAAATTCAAATGATCTTCAATTTTTGAAAGAGCTATGGGTCAATTGAGAGTTCTATTGTTTCGGTGGTTTCATTGTTGAATATGTCTGAATGATATTACAATATTGTGAAAATAAAAAATGGATAATTGTTTTCAAAATATTTATAGAAGATAGTTTATAGATTATGTTATAGTTAAAATAAAATATTCATTTATAGAAAGAATGAAACTTTACATGTTTTCCATTTGAGAAAAAGCCATTTCAATTCTTTCATTGTATGAGTATTTCAGTTTTTTACCGTGAATTGGAAAATTTCGATGAAACCATTATCTCTATAAGCAAAATTGTAAGACACAATTGATTTTTTTAAGTAATTGTGTCAAATTTTTTATAATTATTTCCCAATTATAATGTACAATCACTCAATACACAGTATACTTATCAGTAAGAACTAACGACCACAAAATTAATCAATGAGAACTGTAAATAAAACAAAATATTTGTATGAATCAATAACGAACATCAATATAACATTGATTTGAAGTATATATCACTTGTGCAACGTTAAATTAAGATAGAAGCTTTTGTCGAGAGATCTAATCAAAATTGAAAGTCAAAACTAGTATCAGAAGGAAGTTTGTATACATTATTCATGCAAAAATCAATTATGCATGATCGATATAAATCTTTTGATTCTTTGAGAATTTTGAAATTTTCAAAAAGAAAATGAATCATTAATATAAAGGATAGAAACAGTTTAGTAAATTATTAACAATTATATTGATTTTCAGAAATCCAAGTCATACATTTGAAGATCTCCAAAATCAAATAAATCTGTATTTATATCAAATTCAGGGACTTGATTAAATTCATGATTTTCTTGTATTTGTGATGATTTTTCAGCAAGTTTTAATATATCTTGTTCGTTATCAGGGAAGTTCATCTTCTTCTGTTTATCTCTTTCTTCTTGACGCATGAGAAGAGCATAGCGACTCTTGATGTTGATATCTGTGCGGCCATTGAACTCTTTGGCAATAAGTGACCACTTGCGACCATAGAAGTCAACAAGTTGAAGAAGTTTAGCATCGTCTTCTTGACTCCATGGACTGCTGTTCAAGTTTGGACTCAAGTAGTTCTTATATCTGTCACGACACTGACGTGCGTTTCGACTAACCATGTACTCACTGACTTTCTTCCAGTTACTTGGACCTAAAACACTAACAAGCATTCGCAACTTCTGATCCTCTGATGGAGTAAATTTATCCTTTGGATGTGGCTTTCCAACTGGTAACATACTTGATTAAAAATGAACTCAGTTATGGATAGACAAACTAGCACTCAAATTTCAATCCAATGAAAAAATCAATGTCTTGTTTGAGAAGATGATTGATTTTTTATTTTGGATTATATACTAATAATTCCAAAATAAACAACATATCCCCATTATTTGATATTTCCCTTTGTGTATATTGAAATTTTATTCTATGAGATTCATCAAAAAATCCAATAAGCTTATAATTGAGATGAAAAAAAATTATGTCGAAATTTGTCCATATAGATCATATTATAATATTTGACTTTAAATTTTGTACAATTTTGAATGCTGTTATGGTAGTATTTAAATTTTATATGGAACAAATCAAATTGATTTTGTCACTTTTGTTCGTTAGTAAATTTCGAAATCAACTTCTTATTTTACATTTCATCCTTACTTCATTTCCAAAATTAAATGTATGTCAAAAAATACTTTTGATATTCATTCAATTTTTGACAGGCTTTTCAAAATTGAAAACTGTAATGGGAAGATCGAATCGAAGTTTGGTCTACTGTTCTTTTGAACTCCTTATTTTCAATTGTTTATATTTTCACAAAGCCATTGTATTCTTTCTTTTCTTACATATCGCTTATATATATATTATAATTCATGTCATTTTTTAACTGATAATTCTTAGGAAGATAAAAAAAAATTACATAAAACATCCAAAATTGACTCTTTTTATAATTCAAATTAATCTGTTTTTCCAAATCAACCATAATCTGATACTACTCATTTAAACATTATTATTTATTGGTTTATTCCCTTTAAAGATTCACTCATCTTCAAAATTGAAAATTGAAAACATATTTCTTTTAATTTTATAAATAATGCTTGTAAATCTATTAGTATTATCAAAATGTAGTTTTGAATTTTTGATTATTTCGGATCTTATCTCTATAATGAAAAATTATGAATTGATTATTATCATTTCGATATTGTACAACTCCATTCCTTACAGCTATGCGCTATTGTGATAAATTCCTAGAGGTTTATATGATATAATATAATAAATTTACCAACTTATTCCTCATCATTAAAATTTGACTTTAAATCAATCATTTATTACCTTTATTATTCAAGGAGAAAATTATGTTATAATACAACCTTCTTAAATTCATTCTAAAATTTCTGATTTATTACATTCTCAGAAATGGCAGATAACAATCAATCTTGATAATTAAATTTTGAATCAAAGCCAGTCACCAGTTTTTATTTTCTGTAAATATTAGAAACCTCTAACAAAATATGATAATGCGAGCTTTTTGTTTAATAAAGTATTTATTACTCAAGTTTGTATATTGATATATGCTTAATGTTGTATCCTTAAGATAGCAATTTAATGAAAATATGATTTATAAAATTGAAATAATAAATAAGTGTGAAAAACAACTATTTAGTTCTTTATTCCCTTATTGTAACGATTTTCTATTTATTGAACTATAAATATATTTACGTTATTTTTAGTTCATTTAACAAGCAATTTGATAATAAATTGTAATATTTATGATAATATAAATAAATCAAATTAGTTTCGGCTAGTTTTCATACGAAAAATTTACACTTTTCCGACGTTTTGTCAGGGGCGCGAAGCGACCCAAAAAATGTCGGAAAAGTGTAATTCTCAGGTATATGATTATTTTTGCTTTTAATGCCGAACAGCATTTGAATCAAAAATAATCGTATGTCTGAGAATTTTAGTTTTATGAAAATACTATAAAATAGTAAATATAGATATATGATTTCAAAACGCATTTGCCACTTTAGATATTCTTTCTGATTTTGAGTTTTTACATTCAAAAATTAAATAATTCATCTGGACAATTGTAAATATATCAAAATTGAGACTCATTCAAATCATTCAATACTTATTTCATTTTCTTCTTTCCATGCCAAAGAACAATCTCCTGAAGGTTCATTTCTCTAAAACAGAAGATAAAAAGCTTAAACAACTGATTAACATACATGGAACTAGTGATTGGAAGTTAATCTCTAAGGTAATGCCAGGAAGAAATTATAGACAATGCAAAGATAGATGGGAAAAGTTTCTTTCCCCTAATATCAATAGAGAGCCATATACAAAAGAAGAAGATAAGATTATTCTTCAGTTACATTCAAAAATTGGTCCACAGTGGGTGAAAATAGCTTCATTTTTAAATGGCAGATCCGATTCATCAATTAAATCTAGGTTCAAACTATTACAGAGAAGGATTAATGATAATTCTAATAGTTTAAATGCTCAAAATACCCAGGTTTCAAATAATGACGAAATGAGTACCTATTTCAAAGATTTTATAGTAGATAATAGTCAAAGTGCTGCAATCAGCTATGATTCTGATGATATTGATATGTTTTTTGATTTTCAGATAGAGTTTTAAGTGTAAAAATAAATATTTACGTGATAAACTATCAAATTATTTAAGGATACCCTTACATTGCGTAGTTAGAAAGAGAATCTGATATTGTCATGATTGCTAAAGTTTTAGGCTCCAGAAATGAATATACATCAAACTGAAACAATTGATAAATTGAATGAACTTTTGAGAGGTTCTCAAATAAAAAAAATTATCTAATTTTTTACAATATTACTATTATTTTATCCACATATGTATATATAGTAATTTGAGAAAACTTTTAGGAAAAAATAAGTTTAATAAAAATCTGAATTTTACTTGTTGAGAGAGGGTCAAAGTTGCTATTTGTCACTTTTCCACAAGAATATAATGGGGAAAAAGTTATCATATAGTTGATCTCATTCACTGAGGTGAGAGATGCATGTAGTGTAATATGTAATGGGATAAACAGTGGGATTGCTGCTCTAAGTCCTAGGTTCGAGACACATTGGCTTCATTTTTCTCTTTTTTATTGACGTAAACTATTCAATTTTTGTGTTCTCCATTCAAATTTCAGAATTTTTTTTGCAGATTTCACGCTACATTCGAAGTTACCTTTTGTAACAACCACCACTGCCTACGAAAGACGAAAGTGTGTCACGATTTCACCCGGAAATCCGACGGTTGTTTAAGAGTATGCACTTTTGTCACCTACTCTTTACTTGTTGTGGGATTGTTATTAATTGACACTCCAGACGTATTACTATTAGTTATGTGTATGCAATTAAAGTATTTCTGATGGACAAAATGTGAGATTTATATCAGATAATTCATTTCTACTATTAAGTTATTCATTTATGAGTTTGTACTTATTCGCACTAAATAAATAACTATTAAAAATTGTTTTAATTAATTGACACCATATAATAGAGTGAATTTTGTTTGATCAAACAACAATAGATGATAGATATAAAGCCTAGAAACTTGCTATTAATATGCTCTACTTGCTATTTCAATGTAAGTATGATATTTTCTAAATGTTTCGTTCAGATAACTTAGATATATTAGTCAAAATTTGAAATTTTAATAGCACATATATTAAAAATAATTATTATTCATAAAAGATTAATGAAATAGTAAAAAAAATCAATCAAATTATAAAAATACAACATTTAGAAGAATTCTTATTATCCTTCAAAAAGTCAGTATTTCTGCTGTAATTTTCTACAACATTGTAGTTATTGCACTTTGTCTATGGATTTGTATATATGTTATATATAAATTATATATCTAAACTGCCCATAAGTGCAATTTTTATATAAATTGTTTATTTCTTTAACAATTTCATATGAAATATGCTTTTTAAGCGTATCAAAGCTGTGTTCTTAATGTGCATGGATATATCAAGAAAAATGTCGAAAAAAAAATGTGAATTCACAAATTCACTGAATTTTCACCGTTTTTTGAATTTTGCTACAGCACTAATATTAAATAATACTAAAATCTTCTGTCTTTGTAAAAGAATAAATTCTGACAAAAAGTGCTCGTTTAAATTTAATGATCATCTGTATGACTAAGTGGTAAAAAGTGTTTATGACCAAAAAAGGGTTACATGCTTAGTCTATTTTTCTGATAGGATACTCTAGATTTACATGATCTCCGTTTTTAGATTCTTCGACAGATTTTATGATAGAAAACCAAGATTAACAAATTTCCGGCATGTTAATGAAGAAATCTGCAGCTACCCTCAATATTATTTCAATAATCAGTATCGTTTCTCTTACAATTTATTTTTTTCTCAATAATTTAACAAGAAATAACAATACACACTTGGTTTTACGTATAAAAGCTAAGTGTCGAACTTAATCAACTTTACTTACTTAGCAAATGAATATTTTTGTGGTTGCGAGTTCTGAATGCTGAAGTTTTAGATTTCTCTATAAATGATATCATTGCACTTACAATGTTGTTCCAGCCTATCGCATAAATCATAGAAAATCCAAAAAAAAAATAATATAAAGAAAATTCATGTCATGAAGTTCAAAAAATACCGTGTAACATTAAAATTTGTTATGCATAATACATTTTAGCTATTATTGATTTTTTTTAATTTTCGAGAAATTGAATGGTGAGTCCGATAGAGAAATTTTTAAAAATCCTAGTCCCTCATAGAAGTAATTTCCCTCGTCTCCCATACTTCCAAATGGATGCATATGACATAAACCTTTATGCATTACACAAGTGGCCAATAATATCTATAGAGTAAAAAATTAGAAATTTAATTTTTTTATATGATAGTTATATTTCAGATTTGCGAGCGTAACTTTTTTCTCCATGGCATACTTGTTTTAAGAGCAAATGATCAAAATCGTCCTTCAATTATTGAAGGAGCTGATATCTTTTGAAAATTGAATTGAAAGGGTATTCAATTTTCAAATTTCCTCTCAATTTTGGAAACATATCAACTCTATGAATTAACAATTATGTGCCTTCACAGTTTATCAGTCATATAAGGTGCTTATAAAGAAAAAAGTTACGCTCGCAAAATATGTTTTTATATAGATTTCACATAAAATAATTATGTAATTTCTAAAAAGAATATTTTTGTTCTTGAATATTAAAGTGTATTGTAGTTTAAAAAGTTTTAAATATGTTGCTAAAATTTCAGGTTTATAGCTCATGTCTAGCATGACTTCTTCGTATGCGCAAAAAATCTGACACGTAAGGGTATCCTTAAGTTCTCAATTGCTTTCGATTTTTGATAGGTTTACAATTGTTCATATAAAATCTCTCAAGATTTATACTTTCTTTTAAAACAAAGTGTAGAAGTTGAATTTTTATAAGTTTACACATATTCAATTTGAATTTAAATGAATTGTGTCCTAAATATTGAAGAAAATCAATCAATGTGATTTGCATTGTGTTCTAAAAGCTAAACATGTTAATGGAATGTATTATATGATAGAATATCTTTCTTATTACTAATTAAATTTGATTTGAACTTTCTATATGGGAAATATTTTTGCCTCATATAAGGACATTTACTTGTGTAATGATGATTAATGGATATCAATGAGATATAATAGTCAAATTCCATGATTAGGACATATATTTTTACATTAATTAACTGCATTATGTTTATTTATGAATATTCTTCATCTCTTCTATATGAGTTGCAACACGAAATCAAGTATATTCTCAGAATCACTCACAATTAAAATAATTTTAAAAAAACAGTGAATAAACCGTTAAATGGCATTTATATGAAGTATTTATTGTTATATTATAGCATAAGAACAAATTACTGTGTAAAGTTATATGAGTTTTAATGAAATAATTCATCGAAAACAATTCCTAATAAATTGTATTACCTTATAATCACTCAATGTAGGATTCCATGATCTATGACATATCATTTCCAAAGGGATTTTGAAAAAGGGAGCATTGAAATCAGTTATCAAAGTCATTGAAATTTAAAAACTGTTGCAATATGTCTATATATATAAATTCTATCAGTTACGATTTTCCAAAATTATGTTTTGTTTAAAATATATCAAAATATAACTAAGGTAGTCACAAAATCTAAGTAGTGAGGCTCTCAAAAATTGAACCGTACTCCATACAAAATTTGTGTACCCTCACTACTTAGATTTTGTGGCCTTCAATTGAGAGGTTAGTTTTGATAGAGCAAGTTATAAAATTAAAAGGGAAAAATAAATAAAATTTAAACATTTAATTATATATAATGTAAGGAGTGTAATTCCAAATTTTCTAAAAACTATTCAAATTTGAGCATTTTTTTTGGAAATAGTAAATCTAATATGTACATCTAATAACAACATGATTCATCACCTTTTCAAGCTCTGCAGTCAATTTTTTGAAATTTGATTGAAATAAATGTAGCAAAAATTACATTTCATTAGGGAATATATGAGTTTCTCTGGAAACAGGCTGATAAATTTTAAATTTTGTCCAATCAACATGAATGCATTGAGAAATTTGGATTGATTTTCTGGTAGAATCTGGAACAATTCAACCATGTATAAATGGATCATGTAATCATCATGAAATGTTAGTGTTAGAGTTCAAAAGAAACAGAATGAGTGGAAATCAAACACAATCTGAATAATTTTAAACGTATACAATCTTTAAGTTTGTATTTTGAATTCTACATATATGATTGTGTAATTCGTTCTTTCAAATTTTCGGATTCAGGCATGTTTTGATAAAATTCATTCCCAAAAACGTCAATTAACAATTAAATTTAGTGTATTTTAAATATATATACGTATTATATTTTATAAATTATATTAAATTCGCAAAATTTTAAGTTTTAAACAAAAATAAAAAATGTTCAAAATATGAAATTATGCATAGGATATTAAAATTTACATGTTAGCAATTTTTTTGAATTGCTTTCAATTTTCATATTGAAATTTTTAAGATTTTTTTCTGAAATAATAAGCAAGAATATCAACCTAAATAATATTAAATTCCATGCGTTAATTTCTCCTCAAAAGTCATTGACCGCCTCTCAATCTAGATTTTGTGAGTACTTTATATTTTTTCTTTGCTTTTTTTCGTTTTCAATGTTTTTTGAGAAACTTAGGGTTGTACAAACTGGCACAATTTTGCGGGCCGCCTGCCAGGAGCTGGCACGCGGCCAAAATCAAAAAAGTGGCCAAAAATCGGGCCTCGTGGCGTGGAAAGGGTGGAGCCCGAAGGGCGACATCCTTTCCACGCCACTCGGCCTATGACCACAATTATATAATATGCTCATTATTATTTTTTCTTCTTTTCTCTTCTTTTTTTTTCTTTTTCTCTTTTCTTTCTTCTTTTTCCCTTTTCCTTCCTTTTTTTCTAGTTTTGGAAAGGAAAAAGTAAAAAATTTAATAATTAATTTTATTACTATGAAAATATACTTTTTAGCTTATATTGTAAGCTGTGAGAGTTTTAAGTGATGGAAGATATAAATCAAATTTGAAATTCAACAAATCTTGTTATGATTAAGTTGAATATTGTACTCTAATTAAGAGTTTTCAGTTATGAACTCAGGTATTATATAATAAAAGTATAACTCAAGATAATAAAGAGGTTTTTAAAATGTAGATCTGAAAATCAAACTACCATGTTTGATATGATTAAGTTGAATAATGTTATTTTATTAAATGGTTCAAATCTGTGAAATCGGCAATTACAAATTAAAGGCGTAGTTCAAAAAATTAAAGAGATTTTAAAAATTTAATATCAGAATTAAACTAAAAAAAGGATTTAGTTATTTCAGTAATTATCAGAAAAGGTTAAAAAGATAGGGTAAGTAATGAGACTTGAGTGAGATGTGAGAAATCATATGTAAATAATTAGATATCTGATGAGTAAGGTAGTAATGAGAGTTAAGATCTGGTTAGTAAGGTAGTAATGAGAGTTAAGATCTGGTTAGTAAGGTAGTAATGAGAGTTAAGATCTGGTTAGTAAGGTAGTAATGAGAGTTAAGATCTGGTTAGTAAGGTAGTAATGAGAGTTAAGATCTGGTTAGTAAGGTAGTAATGAGAGTTAAGATCTGGTTAGTAAGGTAGTAATGAGAGTTAAGATCTGGTTAGTAAGGTAGTAATGAGAGTTAAGATCTGGTTAGTAAGGTAGTAATGAGAGTTAAGATCTGGTTAGTAAGGTAGTAATGAGAGTTAAGATCTGGTTAGTAAGGTAGTAATGAGAGTTAAGATCTGGTTAGTAAGGTAGTAATGAGAGTTAAGATCTGGTTAGTAAGGTAGTAATGAGAGATCTGCGGGCAGTAATGATACATCTATGAGTACATAACTAAAACCTGAGTTCTATGAGCGAAATCTGAGAGCTAAAAGCCGAGAGATCTAAGGTAAGTAATGAGAGAAGAGAATTTGAAATTTTACAAAATACGTTTTCTCATACAAAATAATTCGCATTCTTTTATAACGAATCTCAATGCCAATTAATACATAAAACAGATTTTAGCAATCAATTGCAAGATTTAGAAAGATTTTATTTATAATCTCAGCCAAATTAACAAATATTTTATTGATTTCGTAAAAAATAGCAATAAAACATAAAAATATGACATTCTATTTTTCCAAAAAAATTTCAAAAATCATTTTTAACATGAAATTTATATTTTTTAATTTTTTTTTTAATTTTGAATTTTTTTTGGAATTTTCAACCATGTCAAAAGTCGGGATCTACAAATGTATTCTCTTTGACATAGGATAAAAACATCCTTTCTTATAATTTCATTGTAAAATAAAATTTTCTTAAATTTATTGAATCCAAACTCAACTTTGCAACATTTTATTATCATAAAAACATAGAAACATCAGGTAAACTTCAATTTGGAGAGCTTAAAATCATATCTAAATTGAAAAATAAGGGGAAAAAATTGTAAAAAAAAATCTCATGAGAGAGGGTCAAAGTTGCTATTTGTCACTTTTCCACAAGAATATAATGGGGAAAAAGTTATCATATAGTTGATCTCATTCACTGAGGTGAGAGATGCATGTAGTGTAATATGTAATGGGATAAACAGTGGGATTGCTGCTCTAAGTCCTAGGTTCGAGACACATTGGCTTCATTTTTCTCTTTTTTATTGACGTAAACTATTCAATTTTTGTGTTCTCCATTCAAATTTCAGAATTTTTTTTGCAGATTTCACGCTACATTCGAAGTTACCTTTTGTAACAACCACCACTGCCTACGAAAGACGAAAGTGTGTCACGATTTCACCCGGAAATCCGACGGTTGTTTAAGAGTAAGCACTTTTGGCACCTACTCAAAATCTCATTAGATGGGGCAAAAAGTGACTTTTTTAATGTGTTTTTTTAAAAAATCGTGCCAGCAGGCGTGCCAGTTTGTACAACCCTAGAGAAACTTGAATGAAAAAATTCGATTTTCTGAAGAATTAAGACATAAAATTAGATTATAATACGAGAGATTTGTTCAATTTTTATATATTATGTGATTAATTATATAATATGTCAATCTGAAAGAAATTTTGAAGATTGATTTTGTAAATATGTTTGCATACAGTTATTTCAGATGTTTAGAGTGAAAAATTCTATTTTAATATCTACAATCGTTCATGTGATTGATAAATTCACCATTTTTCACATGTTTTAAGTTCATTATTTATAAGAATACATGTAATTATTCTATTTGGATAACTAACAAACTCTATGTTTCATGAGAGTTAGGAGAATATTATCCAGAATGCAATAAAAGTTTATAATTTATCTCTTTATTTCGTAATTATTATTCGTTCAGCCATTATTACTGAAAGAATCCTTTAGAAAGTGGCATAAAAAGTATCTTATTTAAATATATTATACAAACAACAAACAATTTTTATTTCAAAACAAGAGATTGCGAAGAATCTGAAGGAGATTTCAACAATCTAAGTCTACTAGCCCCATTTTTATGAGGTAATATTTGGCTTTGAAGTCTATATGTTGACTTTCTTAAAGAATAAAGAGGTGATATTATTTCATTATTTGAATAAAACTTGGAAATGCCATGTTGGTTGCTAATTTGGCACAAATTATCATGAACAACATCAGTCGATTTAAAGTATGGCATCTCCAAGTCTGTCTTTTGGCTCTATCCTCAAGCATCTTGCAATAACATCACGAAGAAGTTTATCTTTAATAAGAGAGCCATCATATTTAGCTAGTGAAATTAATTGAACTAATTCTCTCGGATCAACAACAAAAAATGGATATCTTCCTGTGGCAATAAAATACAATGTACATCCAAGTGCCCAAATATCAGCTGCCATCGCATCATAGCCATTTTGCTCATAAATTTCTGGTGCCATCATTATTTTTGTTCCTGAATAGATATTTCTAACATGTGAATCCTTAAATATTGTTGCTAGACCAAAATCTCCGATTTTCAATCTTCCATATTCATCTGTCATAAAATTTGCTGGTTTTATATCGCAATGAGCTATGTTCATATCATGACATGCTTTGATGCAAAGGACAGCTTCACGGCAATACTTCTTTATTTCTGCTGGCTGCATGTTTCTGTTGGATAGTACAATTCTTTCTAAATCAAATGGACAATATTCCATTAAAAGTGTTTTGTACCGAAATGGCTAACAAAAAAGTGACAGAAAACCTTAAATTGCGCGGCAATTTTAATTAAAAAAATAAACATTAATTTTTGTGATTGATATTATGCATTTTATTTATATTATATAAGATTTAAATATAGGGGAAAAATTGGAAAAAAAATAAGATTGGAAGTCTTTAGGTAAGAAGGAAAGGGCAAGAGATATATAGTGTACCTATATACCTCTTGCCCTTTCATTCTAAGTAGAAATGGGAGAAACTTTGTCCGCATCATAAGTTATGGGACAAAGTTTCTCCGATTTCTAATGGGAATTGCAGGCTATGAGGCACTGATATATAATCAGTACCTCATAGCCTACAATTCCCCTTATTAGACTTCCAAACTTTGAGTTAATCTCTTGACATTAACTCAAAGTTTGGAAAACTTCTCGTAAGAATCAATCGTCAAAAACCTCGATTGCAGTTATATTCATTGTGTTAAATTTGATTTATTTTGAAATTTTTATAAATTAAATTTATATAACATAAAGCGTTATGAATTAGCATTTCCATATGAATTTTATCTCGAAAATAGTAATTCTGTACAGTTATATTTCGGTTAATTTTGGAAATTTCTAGGAATACTTTAAGATAGTATGATTATATATAACTCTGCCTTCATGATTTATTTTAGCTTTCGCGCAAATATCAGTTAACTTAACTCCATTATTTGATTTTGTGATGGCTTCACAAAGCCAATCAATATCAATCTCTTCTGGAGAATGTCTTCTCATCTAGAATATTTTCAATACTTTACATACAAACATTTTTATTTCTAAAAAACTTTTTAATTTTTTCTAGGATATCTGAATGAAAATAGTTAGAACAAGATTTTGAAGCTCAAAACATTAAAAATTATTAAAGATTTGTATAATATGATTAAAAATGGGAAATAATATGAGGCAATATAAAGGAATATGAATATTAAATAAATATATCTAAATAGAAAGAATCAGAAAAATCAAATTATTGGCGCCAAAAATGTCACCTTTTTGGTGAGCCATTTCGGTATGAGATAAATATTCCATTAAAAGATATTCGTTACCTTTGAAATTATATGTTTTATACAATCTAACTATTCTTACATTGCATTGATGTCAAGCACTCGAGTTCTGAATCATGGAAATACTTTTCTCTGATCTTTTTATTTACAAATTTCTTTTTATAAACATCTGAGTAAACGCAAAAAAGAATGCCAAAGGTACCCTGCCCTAAATAATGTAGAAAACGATATCCATCCTTCTTGAATAGTTCCTGTTCTTGTGTTTCCATCGAAAAATATGTCTGAGGAGAAATATTGAAAACACTCACAATTTTAAATTACACTTTTGAATTGACTCATTGAATTAATGACTGTTCGAACAAAACATTTACCTTCAAAAATTGAATTAATTGAATTTAAAATATTGATTATAGTAATTAATATTATAAATAGATTTAAACGAGTTGATTTGGCATTTGAATTGTAATTCTTTTGTGAGCAACACTCAAATTTTGAAAAGTTATGAAAATTTATCCAGTTTTAATAATATCCAGCCACATATCATTTTAATCTTATTATTATCGGATAAAATATGATGTGGACATAATATCAAGACTATTTTATAAAAAATAAAAAAATTGCAATCATATCGATGAAAAGATTACAAAATTCAATAAAAATGCTTCAATTAAAGATGGAAATATAGTGTCAATGTAGAAACCAAGCTAATACATGGTTGTATCATGATTTCTTTGAGTTTTGTCGATTTTTTCAATTTGGGAAAATTAAAATTTATCTTGAAATTTAAGAGACATTGCTAGAGTTATTTAGGGTACATGACATTTTGTTAATGCCGAATTGAAATATTTGAACTTTTGAGAGTGCTACAAATAATTCATATGAAATAATATATTTGTTTTTAAAATTGAGCATTATGTAATGTTTAGTCATACGAAATCATAATAAAATCCTGTTTTGATAGTTATTGAGAATATTTCTGATAACCATACCGACAAAACCGATATGAATATTTTGATTATATATTTTGAATACAAGTATTCAAAAATATATGGTCAAGACATTTTTGAAAGACATGAGATTAACATGAGTATTTAAGCATTTCATATTTTATAACGTTCATTGACTTTTAATTCAAAATGAAATTAAAACAATTATTAAGCATTTAATATGCTTTTAAAATAGACTTAAATATAAAATTTGATAAAATTTACAATCATCAAAAATTTAAAAGGAATTTACAAAATATACTAGAAGTATTATTTTAAAAGAGATTTTGTCAAATAAATTTTACGTTTTAGTTTTGAATACTTACGCTCCACTTCTCATTGAATATGAAAATATGTAATGTTTGGATCAGAATGAAACATAAATTCTGGTCTATAACTTCAAAGAAGGTAAAGATTCACTCATGAAACTTAGTGATGTAACATTATTTTAAAGATGAAATTTCAAAAATAGATTCCTATGATTGGACTTTATAAAATAGAATATATCATTGATCACTTGATTATTGGGGTAACTTCCAATTATTCTAGATATTCAATCAGAAATCTAGTAAAGATGTATAAAAAGAAGGTTAAATGACTACAACCTTACATTGTATTTAATATATTTTTGAATTTTACGTTCGATTAGCAAAATCAATTTTTTTGATACACCAAGTTCAGTTTATTATTGAAATTGGATCATTATTAGATTAATGATATCCAATTTTAAATCAAATCATCTAATGTTGTCATACTGTGAATTTAGCGAATGAAAGGTCTATTCAAACTTCGAAAATTTTAGATTTTTCTATTGACTTTTTTCAAATGAGATTTAAAATAATCTATGGTTCACATATAACAAATATTTCATCTAAAAGAAAAAACTCGTAATATTGAAATGTATCGAGTTTGAGAGTAATTGACGATCAAATTCAACAAAGAACTCAATAAATTTTAATAACCAGACCTTCATTCACATATATTAATTATTCTCTCGATAAAGATTAAGGAACTTTTTTTAAAAACGTATTTTATGAGTTATGTTTTTCTGAGAATATTTTAATCATAGAATTTTAATATAATTTGCAGTATCATTTTAACTTTATATGAAGATTAAAATGTTCAGGATTTCATCTATCATTGGGAATTTTGAAAACGTTAATTTCTTGAAATGAAATACGAATATTCTATTAACCTATTAATATAATCATACTTTTAATTTTTGAATACTTATTTTGAGAATGATATTGGTCTTCAAATCAATAACGTATGACATCACAAGCAGAATTTCGAATCGATTAGTGAAAAATAGTTGTCTTCTCACGTACAATTAAAGAGTATTCATGTTCGTAAATTAATTCATGCCGATAATTTTATTGTTCTCCATTAATTTTTTTTAATTATTCCTTATTGAAACAAATTCTTATTTGCTGTAGACCTATAATTCGGCAATAAAAAATTTATTCTTTTAAGATGAAAATTCAGAACTTTTACATATATTTTACAAATCCCAAAAATTTTAAAAACTCCTCTAGGTTCTTGAATATAAATACATCACAATCGCGGCATTTTTTGAGAAAGATATTCGAACAATATTGTTATCAAAACAATACACAAAATTTCTGAACCTCTCACAAATTTTAATTCAATTAAAGTATTGAAAATATCTCATTAAAATATATGGCGGAATCCTCTGTTTCGAAATCTAGCGTTTCGAGTGTTAGCCAGAGTGTTCCAAACTTTGATTCCCTTGCTCAAACAAAAGGAGGCTTTTTAGATCGCATATTCCCGATTTTGGATCAAATGATGGAAAAAACGAGATTTCCTTCTTGGTTCATGTCATTTGTTTCAATCTTTATTCTCTTACAAAACCTCTCAGTAGGTGCATGGATCTATACACCAAACTTCCAGAGAACTTCTGGTCATTGGACTGATTTATATAAAATCGTAATCTATATCTTGACATTCAGCAACCCATTAGACACAGCAAGTGTTAGCTATGTGATGCTAGGCCTTTGCATTGGAATTGCTGTGTTTTCAGTCCTGTGGATATTCTTTATGGATTTCTACAACAAGAAGTTCTATATGCTGCCGGTTCCACTGCTATATGTTTCATCATTGATTATTGATATAATCGATTCTATATTCATCATTCCAAGTGTTTACGTTGCTAATCATGGTATCACAGGTCTTCAAAGTCACTTTGACTAGGGTTTCATAGCTGAGATCATCACCGGTGCTATTGCTTATGGATTATTCCTCTTAATATTCTTAATTAATACCTTCCTTAAATGCCGATCAGTCGTATTAACAAATTTAGTATTCCCAATGTTCGATTACTTCTCAGTAACAATGTGGATTATCATCACATCATTCTTCTCAATGCTTACAGCCATTTTCAACTACTTTGATGAATGGTATTACTCAGTTGTTGGTGCAATTCACATTCTTGTCACACTTTACATTATCTATCGTCTTTTATTTATTCCTTTCTACGAAGTTTGGAGAAACTCAATCGCTTTAGCCTTTGGTATCACAACAATCTTATGAGATATTAATTTCTATGTTCTCACCGCTTGCCCGAACTTGACTTACAATTATACAATATTTATTTTCGTTTTCGGCTCACTTATCGGGTATGCCATCAGCTATGCCTTCTACACAAAGAAGGTAGCAAGAGTAAAGAAAGAATTGACATATCAAGAGGAAATCCAAGATAAACAAGAATATATGGACACATTAAGTATCAAAAAAGGCATTCATCATGCAATGATGTACATTGTTGTTGGTCTTTATGGCATCTGCGACTACTTTATCGATGGTTCAGTGTCTAATTTCATATTAAATCAGCCACAATTGGAAGCTGCTGTTGCAATTATGTTACAGATCATCACTTTCTTCCCATCAGAATCAAAGAAGATGGATCTCTTGTTCAAGAGAGTCCTTACGAAGAGAAAACTTAATCTTGCCGAAAGATTCTTGATTTACCAATGCTACAGAATCAAAGTAAGAAGATTAGTATCTGATACTAAAGATACTTTAGAGACATTCAATAAATTGAAAGCAAAGAACGATACAGTCAAATCAATTATCAAATCATTTTGGGATAAACAAGATGCTGATAATTCATTCTTGTCAAACTTAAGTATCACTGTTAATGATGTCAATTCATTGTTCAAAGCATGCTTGGCAAGTAATCCAAACAACTTAAGAATGACAAATGAATACGCGAACTTTTTGGCTGAATGCAAATGTGACTTTGATGCTGCAATCATTGAAAGTATCAAAGCAGATATGATTGCTGATGGAAGAAACTTCAACGTTGATATTTCATTCAGAAGTGTTGTCAACAAATTCCCAAGATATCTTAAAGACAAAGTTCTTGATGTCAAAGGAAGAAGAGTTCTCAAAGGAAACATGAAATCAAATGGAAGTGAAAGCAAGAATTCAAGCTCATCATCAAGAAATGATTCATTTGATTCCAAATCCGTTGATTTCGAAAGACAAGAACTCGTTTCAAAGAAGATTTTAAGAGATGCAAAAGTCAGATTAGCATTTCATCATGCAATTATGGATACAAGACCATGGCAATATAATACAATTGCTATGTTAACATTATGGGATGTTCTATTAATTTGCGTTTTCTTCATCGGTTTCTATGCTTATTTATTATCAAATCTCAGATGGAGAAGAAGCAGTTATAGCGATTTATCTGATGCTGGCTATGCAACATTCTATTCTGTCTATGCAAATGTTTACACACTTTCAAAATTCGCATCAGATAATGGCAGATATAACACAAGCAATGCAATCTTAGGAAATATTTCCATTGATGATGGAACTGTTGAAACATTGTTACCAACAGAATATTCGATGGGAATGAAGACATTCTTCTGTTTGAACAAATCAAACATGTACTTAAGAACATTGTTACAATCATTAGCTGATCAAGCTATGGATGATAATGATCCATACGAAATTGCTTCCATTTTAATTGCTGTTAATTCATCATTTAATGTTTGCGATAAAGCAAGTCCACAGTTTAAGATCAAAGCATCATTAAAAGCTTTAGTTTTAGTTATCAATTACCATTCAAACTATTTAGCTGGTGTTCAGGACGAACAAGTTATTCCGAATATTTTCGAGAATAATGATTATTGCCAGATCATGTCGAATATTCCGATGATTGCTACAAATGCTGATGAAACATTCAGATCAATCCTTAATTATAATGTTGAAAAAGCTTCAACATACAAAGCTAAATTCATGACATGGATGATTGTTGGTTCTCTCATGATCTTCTTCGGTATTGCTTTACCAGCTGTTATCATTATTAATACTTATAACAGTATGGTTGATAGGATCATCAAAGTTTTGTTGGCATTACCAAGTGCTGTTAAAGAAGATGCAAAGAGACCATTAATGATCAACTCATCAGAAGACAAGAATGAGTTAACAACATCAAAAGTTGAATCATCAAACATCATGGAAGTTTTGCCAAGAATTTTCTTCTTCTTCTTGTTCGGAATTGTTGGAACATACATTGCATTCTGTTATACATCAATACAAGTTAATGACAGACTTACACTGATTCTCAAGTGGTTCTACTATTCATGCACAAGAATTACAATGGCATCTCAATTAGGTAACAATGCTTTGCAATTGATCTTCTTGAATGGTTCATTAAATCAATCAATTATGGATCGAGATGCACTTGTTCAAATAGAAACATCAGGATTGCAAAAATTAAGAGATGCGGAATCAATTTTATTGCAAGGAAATGATGAAATTAAAGGATCTATTGGTTACGATGCTAAATTAGATCAAATGAATATCCAGAGTCAATGCACGTTAGGAAGAGATCCAAAGACAATCCATGATATGTACGCATGTGGAAGTATCGATGCACAAATTCATATCTTTAGACAAAAGGTTGAAGAAGTTATTAAAACTCCCGAACATTTCAATGGAGCAATGAACAATGAAGTAGCTGCAAACATGGCTCACATTTTGCGTTTCCACTTCTATCCATGTGTTATTAGAGCAACAAAGAGAATCTCTGAAGTCATGGAAAATGCTTATGACAAAGCCATGAGATTTGACATTTTGTTTGTTGTCATTGGCATGATTTGCATGGTTATAATTTTCACATTGCCATGGTTCTTCAGAGATTTCGTTATTCAAAACTACAGAATGTTGTTGATGGCCTTGCAACATCTTCCTCCTCAAACAATTGTTGATACTCCTGAAATCTTAGAGATCTTTTCAAGGAGAAAGAAATCAAACAAAGCAGAAAAGATGTCTGTTTCTAAATCAATTGTTTATGGAGCAAGTGAATGCATCATTATCACAAACTCAAACTCTGTCATTGAAATTGTCAACCAAAGTGTAACAGATAACATTGGCTTAACACCAGATCAAATGTTAGGCCAACACATTGCAAACTTTGTTTCAGACAATGATCAGCAGAGATTGAACCAACAAATTGATTTAATGGTAAATGGCCAAGGATCATCATTCTGGCAAGATCATTTACAGTTAACTAATGATAACAATGAAATGATTCCATTCAGTGTAACAATGATTGGAATGAAGGATAATGATGAATCAACAGATATTAAATCCTTTGTTTACATTTTGACAAATGAAACGGATGAAATCGAGAAGCGCAAAGCAGCTGAAGAAGCCAAAGCCAAATCAGAGAAATTGTTGTATCAAATCTTACCAAAGGACATCGTCATTAGACTCAACAGAGGCGAAACTGATATTTCATTCTCTATTCCATCAGCAACAATCTTCTTCATTGATATTGTCAAGTTCTCTGCTTATACAGCAAACTTGACACCATCAGAAATTATGGCAAACTTGAGCCTTGTTTTTGCCACATTTGATGGAATTGTTTCGGAATATCCAAGCATCACAAAGATCAAATTAATTGGTGATGTTTACATGGCAGCAGCTGGTTTGTTCCAAACAGAAGAAGATAAGTACAACCATGCAGAAGATGCCGTCAGATGCTGCTTAAGAGTTCAAAAGGCAATGGAAGAAATCAACATGAAATTAAATGCTTCACTCGAAGTCAGAATTGGTGTCAACAGTGGTGGCCCACTGATTGGCGGCGTTTTAGGTACAGATAAACCAACATTCGATATTATTGGTGATACAATCAATGTTGCTGCTAGATTACAATCAACAGATATCCCTGGAAATGTACAGATATCAGGTGATACTAAAGCAATGATTGAGAACTTAGACTTTGAAATCGAAGAACGCGGTGAAATTGACCTCAAAGGTAAAGGTAATAGACTTACATACTTTGTTAATTTACCAAAGCAGAATGACTTAGAACAGTCATTTACTGCAACTATTACTGGAAGAAAAGAATAAAAATGTTATACTATCTATTTTATTTAAATCAAACAACTTTTTACATGTATAATTATACATTTTCCTGGTTAAAGTCATTGTTACATATATGCATCCAAATAAATTGAACTAGAGAATACTGTATGAATTTAAAATTCGGAAATTTATACTTAACATTTTCAATTGCAATCGTCTAATAGTGTCAAAAATTCAATGTATATGGGTTAAAATGTGCAATATCATTCTATTATGAAAAATAATTCACTATGAATGAAAAAATGTATAAAAATGTTATCTATTTGTGCTAACAGACTATGAAACAGTTTTTACGATAGATATTAAAAAATTATTATTCATTATGCATTTATGTAAGTTTGATTTACATTGTTGATCAAATTTGTATGGCCAATAGCAAATATTTGAATCAGAACTATGCAGTATGGTAGTTTTTCTTCCAAAGAAAGTCGAAGGACCATTTTCTGGAACAAAAATCGTTATTTTTGCGCTGGAAGAAGCCCCAAAAGGATTAGAAGCAGTTGCGTCATAGGAGCTTCCACAAAAGTAAACCGAAACTGCACTCGAATATAATGCACCTAAAAATAAATTACCGATTGAATTTAATTTTGTTCCGTATGGGAATATTATTCTTTGAATACGCGTAAAATGATATATTCCCATAGATTCAATGGTAGTAAGTGTTGGAGGAAGTACTAGTTTTTGAAGATATAGATTTCGAATCCCATCTAGGTAAATTTTGGTAATTGGAGCTAAAATTATAAGAAATTTCAGATTATAAGCATCTTGTATTGCAGATCGTCCTATTTCTGTTACCGGATAGCCTTTGTATTTACACGGAATTATCAACTTTTCCATACTACATGAATTCCCACCATAAAATCCATTAGCAACTTTGTATACACTCGAATCTCCGAAAGCATAGTGATCAGTCTTGAATGTATAAACAAGAGTGCATGAGTCTATTTTTTGAGAGGAAAAATCGAAAAGGTGGCAAGATTTCGTCATACACTGTTTGGTTCTTAATGGATGCTAGCTTATATTACATCTGTTCCATATTTAGTGCTTGATGTGATGATTTCTCTAGGATATAAAAAAATATTTTTATCATCATCATGATGGCGTCTTGTTTCTGTATCACAATCGGTCATTCTACCATTTTAAAATTTAATCATGATATGACATGGCTGAATATAGATTTCAATTTAGCATTCAAAGACAAATTTCACTAATGGGATTAAGAATTGGTTTGTGTATTACTTATTCTATGCGTACATGGCTTAGCCAATCACATCATTACTATTTTTTCGATAAATAATAAAAAAGTTGGAAAATTTATACATTCAAATTTTCAAAGATCTGTTACGGGCGCGTATAGTAGAAAAAATTGAAGAAAAACTGTTATCAAATATATTTTGATTACTTTCCAATCTATTGGAATTTTTTTGAATTGAATAATCGTAATCCATTTAATTTTATATATAAATGTCTAAATACTATAAATTTACTAGAACAAGTTCTAGTGACAAACAACCGCCTACAGCTTTATTTGCGATGATATCTAAACCATCTGCACTAGATTATATTGAAGAATCTGAAAAATATATTATTCAACTTTACGGAAAACACGAAGAATTTAGGAATAGATCTGATTTTATGGGAAAACTTGAAAGGTTAATCCCATACGGTCCTTTCATTATCAATTTAGTAAGTAATAATGAAAAAGAATTACAAAAGTTAGTAAATTATCAAACAAATTACCAACAAACGAATTTAGAATTCGCAGACATTGGTGTAAAGACCGATATTCCTAATTATGAAGCAATAGTTAATAATCTTATCAAATACGCAAATTATTCTGATAATTTCTTTAAATTTATTCAAAATCGAATTTCAAATTTAACAGCTATACCAGCTCAGTATATTTTGAATTGCCCAGAAAAGTCACCACTTCTATCATCATTATTAGAAAAAAAAATTCTAATCAATCCAGAACCAAAAGAATTCAACATCTATAACAATCAAAATACGTATCTTGCTAGTCTTATGGAAGCATACGGAATCGCATCTAATCCTACACAGTCTTCTATCATAGATAAAGCGCATTTACAGCCACTCCTTTCAAAAGCGAGCAACTACGAATCGGCATATATACAAATAATCAACGCATTCGCATTGCATCCTAATTTTTTTGATAAATGGTTTGATTTTATTGGATTTAAGACACATCTCAGTAATTTCCACTTTAGCTTACTAATGTTAAACGACAATTGGATAATAAAAATATTCGAAGGCTCAAAAGAGTTAAAAGGACAAATAATATTCTATTATTTGCACAATGACGGTGGATACAAAACAATTTTCGACTATTTTACAAAAGCTAAGAAAGCTCTTACTAATGATAAAAAGGAAATATCTACTACTTATTATGTTGGTGTTGCTTATTTCAGAAAATATGCTTTAGAAGCATTATCTGAATTTTCTGATATAATAACAACAGAATACCTTATGGATGTAATAGAATTCCTTGATGAAGAATATAGACATGTTAATTCTGCCTCAAAATCCATATAAAAAAATATTTGTTAGAGAATAAAAAAATTTTAAAATATTGAATAATTTCTTTAATACCACATATACGTAAGTCGAATTAAGGATCTCGTTTGGAGAAAAAACAGCTGGGATCTCCAAATTTCAAAAATATATTAAAGTTGGAGAAGATTTTTCTCCATATGAGATCATTAGTCGAATAAGAATGACTATGGAATAACTGTGATTAAAAAATTTCACTCAAATACATATTATTTGTGTTATTGAATGAATCTAGTTCGGTATGTAACATGATTAATGTACATTTTATTGCATTTGATGATATTTAATTTTCAATTTGTAATTTGGAATTAATCTTAATAATATTTGCTTTTTGGTTAATGATAATGTAAGGTGTGGACCTACTGTATTGATATGAATAATAAAGGAATTTAGAATAAGCATAAATAATCACAGGAATGTAACAATTTTTTGAAAGTTTTACAAATAATCAATGAAAATTAAAATCATGATTTATATTGATGTACTATCAAAATTACTCAAAGGATGATAAAGACTGTTAAAATTCTGGCCGTCAGATGGGCGTATTTGAGAATGATTTGCCATCGATAAAAAGAAATTGTGAAAATGTAAAGTTTTTAATATGAATTATCGGGCTCTGAATTTTGACGGTGAAGAATACTAGCTGTATTATACCTAAATATTACAATTATTTGATTATTTTGGTGTAAATTTTGAGCTCTGAATTGATTCATGTTTTTGATCACTCATAGAATTGTTCGATTTTTTGATAGGATCACTGCTCTGAAAAAATCGAGACATTTGATAGCATTGATAAACAATCATTTTTCGAAATAGCAGATGAGTATCAAGTGCGACGACTACAAGAAGACTCCAGTCCTCTACAGGAAGCGTTTTACAGCCGAGGAAGATGAACTTCTCCGCAAGCTTGCTAAAGACAACACTAACAAGACGTGGCGCGACATTGCAAAGCACCTCCCAGGAAGGAGTGCCACACAGTGCAGAGACAGATACAACCAATACCTCTTCCCGAGTGTTGTTTCCAAGCCATGGAGTGACGAAGAAGACAGAATCATTGTCGAGAAGTACAAACAATATGGTCCACACTGGTCGAAGATCTCAGAGTTTCTTCCAGGCCGCAGCGGAAGCAACATCAAGAACAGATGGAATGGTGCATTATCACGTTTCCATGGTATCCCACACAAGAAGTCGAAGCTTGAGCGTAGACAGCCACGCAATATCTTAAATGCGCTTGCACAATCAGAAACAGCAATTGTTTCTCCATCTTCTGATGAAAGCTCAAGTGATGCTCAAGACATTTTTGACCAACTTACAGAAGGTCTCATCCAACAGGAATACGATACATTTGATCTCTTCAACAGCTGGGAAGATATCACAATGTAGAATTGTTTGTATTATTTGTTCTTTATATTATGTAAATTATTTCTATCTTAATTTATCTGAATTTCCTACTTCCAAAGATTCTTATTAAGTTTAGTTCTTCATTTCATATATAAATATATACATATAGATCTCTAATTTTGAGAAATATTAATTTTAATTAAATTTGATAATTACGCAACTACAATATCTTCTCATAAGTTACCCATTAATGGGGCACTATTGGTAATGAATTTTATTAAGATCAATATTGATTATAATAAAATATATGATTAATTTGGATTTTTCAATTATGAACAAAATCTACCTTATCAGAATATGAATAATCCTAACTTACGAAGCAATAATAAAACAAAAATTAAGAGTATTTAAATTAACGGAAAAGTATTGATTTTGGGTATAAAATATATACTGATATAAGCAGTCATTAATGTAGCGAAACCGAAATTCAGATAAATTAAGATAGAAATAATTTACATAATATAAAGAACAAATAATACAAACAATTCTACATTGTGATATCTTCCCAGCTGTTGAAGAGATCAAATGTATCGTATTCCTGTTGGATGAGACCTTCTGTAAGTTGGTCAAAAATGTCTTGAGCATCACTTGAGCTTTCATCAGAAGATGGAGAAACAATTGCTGTTTCTGATTGTGCAAGCGCATTTAAGATATTGCGTGGCTGTCTACGCTCAAGCTTCGACTTCTTGTGTGGGATACCATGGAAACGTGATAATGCACCATTCCATCTGTTCTTGATGTTGCTTCCGCTGCGGCCTGGAAGAAACTCTGAGATCTTCGACCAGTGTGGACCATATTGTTTGTACTTCTCGACAATGATTCTGTCTTCTTCGTCACTCCATGGCTTGGAAACAACACTCGGGAAGAGGTATTGGTTGTATCTGTCTCTGCACTGTGTGGCACTCCTTCCTGGGAGGTGCTTTGCAATGTCGCGCCACGTCTTGTTAGTGTTGTCTTTAGCAAGCTTGCGGAGAAGTTCATCTTCCTCGGCTGTAAAACGCTTCCTGTAGAGGACTGGAGTCTTCTTGTAGTCGTCGCACTTGATACTCATCTGCTATTTCGAAAAATGATTGTTTATCAATGCTATCAAATGTCTCGATTTTTTCAGAGCAGTGATCCTATCAAAAAATCGAACAATTCTATGAGTGATCAAAACATGAATTAATTATCCGAATTAGTCATATTCGCTTATATAAAACATTTATCAGGAGACAGCTAAATTTAATTTGAAAAGGAAGTTTTTACACTCTATCGTTCAGATCGCATTTTCACTAATTAATGATCAACTATACAACTCAGATTGTTTATTTTCAAAAGGTCTCAAATCAACTCCGATAATTTAGAGTTCTTTCAAAAATTTTGACACTCAAAAATAATTGTAAATTAACCCCCTCTACGGGCATTCAAAAACTTCTAAATTTACATGACACTGTTTCGGTAATGATTTAATATTCTTCAAGTTCGAATAGGATATTTCAATTATTATTAAGTTTTCAACGTTACAAATTTCAAAATTTCTATTATTCTTCTTAAATATTTATATTCATGCATTTTAAATACTATTTATTTCATAACTTTATATTTGCGATATTTTTTTTTATTAATTAATTCAATTTATTAAATATTTCACATCGTTTATTAAATTTATTTTCAAGCGTAATTGATGTTAGATATTAAATGGATGTTTTTCATTTTTTGTATTATTTTATTTCAAAATTGTTGCGTAAATTTTATTTCCTAAAAAATTTGATGCTTGATCCCATTTTACTATTTTCCAATACAGTTGATTCGGTTTCTCTGGAAGCTACAATCTCGTTTTAAAATTTTTAATATTTGCAATAAACTGTACAAATTAAATATGAAGCTGTATTTTTACATCTATACTAGAATTTGGTCAGGAAATTCACTTAAATTCATTCTTTGAAGAATTTAATTCGGCAATTGATTAAATATGCTGAAACAATGAATTGTGATGGTTTCCATAGGTAAAAATGGTATGTAGCGAATTAATGCTTATCTTCCAATAGCATGAAACAATATCTACACCATTCAAGAGATAGATAAACAAAAATTTTGAAAAGTAAGGTTGTCACCGTAAGTTACAATTCAAATTAATCGCCAAAAGTGTTCAGCATCAAGAATATCAGTTAGGGTACCCAGTCATGAATTAAACAATTGTTATGATTTAAAATGCCTTAATTAACAAAATCAAAATATTAAAATTCAAAATTCTCAGACATACGATTATTTTTGATTCAAATGCTGTTCGGCATTAAAAGCAAAAATAATCATATACCTGAGAATTACACTTTTCCGACATTTTTGGGTCGCTTCGCGCCCCTGACAAAACATCGGAAAAGTGTAAATTTTGAAATAAAATTAGGTAAAATATAATAGTCATATTATATACATGGCCATCATAAATGGATGAATCTAAGTGAAGTTAATTATATTAATTTCAAATTATATATAAACAGTTATTGATTTTGAGGCGAACTTATGCATTTAATTGTATCTTTACAAGTTCATAGTAAATTCCGCGTTTGGAAATAAGTTCGTCGTGACTGCCTTCTTCAACAAGTTCACCATCATCAAAAACAAAGATGTGTGATGCACATCGGATAGTACCAAGGCGGTGTGCAATGATGATTGATGTTCGTTCGGACATAACTGCACGAAGTGCTTTCTCAACTTTCTTCTCACTAACTGAGTCGAGTGCTGCTGTTGCTTCGTCTGTGATGAGAACTGATGGATTCTTAAGAACTGCACGTGCAATAGCAATTCGTTGACGTTGTCCACCACTAAGTGTTGTGCCTTTCTCACCAACTTTAGAGTCGTATTGTTGTGGAAGTTTCATGATGAAGTTGTGTGCAAATGCAATCTTAGCTGCTTTCTCGACTTCTTCCTTGCTGCTGTCTGGTTTCCCATAAAGAATGTTGTCACGAACACTAAGTGTAAACAAACTGCTGTCTTGTTGAACAACACCGATGTTCCTGTGAAGGAATGATGCTGAGTATTCTTTGATATTGACATCATCAATGAAAATACTGCCTTCATTAACATCGTAAAATCGTAATAACAACTGAACAATAGTACTCTTACCACATCCACTGTGACCAACAAATGCAACGATGTCTCCTGTTTTGATTTTGAATGAAACATTCTTCAATACCCACTGATCTCTTGTTGGATACTTGAACCAAACATTTCTAAACTCAATATTTCCTTTCAATTCCGATGGTTCGTAGCCACTTGTCAAATCTACAGATTCATTATTTTCAAGTAACTCAAAAATACGATCGGCAGCTTCAATACTTCTTGCTTCACGATTGGCAGTTGCTAAAAGCATGCCTAGAAGGAAAGAAAACAAATTGACAATTCGTAAAATCGCAAATAAATCTCCAGCAGAGATTTTATTGCGTAAAATTAAAAATCCGTCAAACGATAGAACGACCGACCATGTTCCTTGGTTCAACATATGACCACCTCGGAATGATAAAGAAAATATTCCATGAGAAACTCTTTCTAAATGGCAGGAACGGCTGACAATGTTGTAGTATTTCTCGTACTCGTTTTTCTCTTGGTTATATGAATAAATTACTCTTGGATTTGACATTGATTCAAGAGCTACTGTTAAAGCTTTAGCATTTACCTTTGATTTAGCTCTCATATTGCTAACAGCGTAGTTTTTGATTGCTCGAAGTATTACGGCGTTAAAAAGTGTAATAAATAATGAAAAACAAGTAATTGGTGCACTAATTGTAAATCCGACAATTATAGATGATATCAATTGACCTATGTTTCGCAATTGCGTGTATTTCGAGAAATTAAAGACAGAAGAAACTTGCCCAGCATCCTCATTTAGTAAATTTAAAGAATCTCCAATAGATGTTTTGTCAAAATAAGTAACATCACTTTGCATGTACTTTTTAAATATAACTCGTTTAACTTTGCAGTTAATAATCGAACCAATTTGATTCCAAAATGTATTATTAACGAGATTTAATATTGAATTAGTGATAGCCATAATAAACATGTATAATGAATACTTCTTGATCAAAGGAATTGGATCATCTGTTAATAACGAATCAATGATTTTACCGGCGTATAAATTTGACTGAATAGCTGTATATCCTACAACAAATGATGGAATAAAAACCAAAAAATACTTCGGTTTTCTATAAAAAAACCAATACATTTTATGAAGAAAAGGAATCTTTTGATATTTCGATTTCTTTTGCGTGATTTCCTCAACAATCTCTTTCACTTCTTCTGGGTTATCTTGAAGCAATAATGCTTGATTTGTATCATCCTTTTCTCCCATTGATTTTGAAAAGAAAATTTTGAATAAAAATTTGGAGAAATAAAATGTGTTTTTATTATATACTTTGTGGCATTTATTATATCTTGAATTGTTTTTGATGCCGATATCAAATAATAGTCATTTTTACAATTTTTCAAAATCAAATTCTTTAGAAATGATATTACTCTTGATGAAATGAGTAAGGACACATATTAGATGTTACGAATCTTTAAGTTAAAGATCTGTCTCAATACCTCAACGAATTAAACGATCATTGATTATTGAGACAATATGGGTAAAAAGGGAAAAAATGTGAAAGATAACAAAACCCAAAATTAATGAAAATTAACTCGAAAAATATGTTATATGTACAATAACAAATCGATATCCGAGATATATTTTTTTTGTCATGAGCCCTCTATGGAATAATAAGCTATAACAAATCTCAATCTGCCTGGCAAAGGCAAATGACGGCAAAACCGCGTCAGAAGCTCTCAAAATTGTGGGAAAGATTGGGATAAGCTTATTTTCCGCCTACGTTAATTGTTCTAATAAAATAAATCTCTAAATACGTTCTAAACACATCTTATTCATTAGAATTAAGTGATTAAGATATAAGTTAAGATTTTTATTTTAAGTAGTATATGTGGAAGGGTTGTGTGACTTTTTTTGTAAACGTAAGAATTCATACAATATCGAGCGATTTTGTATCATTTTTTTTAACATATGAAGTAAAAAATGTATGATTCTTACGGTTTTTATTCTTACGTTTTTGAATAAATCAAGATTTAAAAAATTTTCAAAATTGTAAGACATTTACACTCAGCCCAAACATAATGAAATAAACGCATTAAAAAAATTAACATTAATTTTAAAATAATATATTTTATCTTTTATAAAAGAAGCTATATATAGATGATGTCAGATATTCCGCGATTAATTAAACATTGTTTAAATCCTGAATGGATTAAACTTCAATTTAAAAATGAAGATTGTGAATTATTAAATGAATATGAAAGCCAAAATAAGCTAATGAGGTATAAATATAATGATAAAGAATATTTAATTTCATGGAATCAATGGAGTCATAATCAAAGACCTCATAAACGAGAAGAAGAAATTGAAAATAATTATTTTCATGAATGAAAAATAAACTTTAAAAAGAATTTGATGAGTTCAACATTGAACTTTAAGAAACTAATGATTATTTGAATTTATGAAATCAATTATTTGATTCATTCTTTCTTCAATCTCTTCTATTCTTTTTGTTAAATCATCAATTTTCATTAATGAGGTGATTCTTGATTGAGGAATAGATTTCAAACTAACCACCCCTTTTATTTTTGAAATTTTGAATCCATCAACTTTAAACATTTTATTCAATTTACATGTTGTCAATTCTTCAAATAATTTTTTATTATTAGCATAATAGTCATTAAATTCTTCAACAGATGAAAAAATTTTTATTTCAGTAATTGGTTTAACAACATTTATTTTTTGAACATTTTCACTTTCATTTATTTCTTCCTTCTCTGTTTCATTTATTTTTAAAATCGGTTTCATTTATCATTAAATAAAAATTAGAATATAAGTGATGAAATATATTTTTTAATTAATATTAAATCAGAAATGGCTGCAGGATTCTTTAAAAAATTATGGGATGGAATTAAGAAAGCTGCGGGTTGGGTTTATAAAAAGATTATTAAACCTGTAGCAAACTTTTTAGCACCAGTAGCGAAAACGGCAGGAACTATCATAGGTGGAGTATTAGGTACTAAAGCAGGTAATCCGGCGATGGGAGCACAAGCAGGTAACGCAGTTGGTGGAATTGCTGAAGGAATACTTAATAAAATAGGAGGTAGATAGTGGAAAAATAAATAAATATTATTTTTATCTTAGTATCGGTTGAAGTCTTTGATAAACTTTTTCTCCTTTATTTAATATTTCTCTTATTGGGGCGGCTTTTGGTGTTATTGATTCAGCAACGTCACTAATTGCTTCTTTATTCTTAAATATCCAATTTGCTCCTTTCTTCATTGTTTCCCAAACTTTATGCGCTCCTCTTTTTACTTTATCCCACAGTTTCTTAAAGAATCCTGCAGCCATAGTTGATTATTTCATTAAAATTAAAAATTCATTTTCATCTTTTAATTTTGATTTTTTATTTAATAATAAATGACGACTAACTATTTGGTGCCAAACACTAAACCGATTAATGGAAATGTGTTTCATTCATTCGAAAAGATAAATGAAATATTCGCAAAGAATGACGGTAGAAGATATTATAGAGAACTTGAAAGTTCATGCTATGACTCTGATGCTCCATATTTTGATGATAAACAAACTCATTTAAGAATTACAAATCCAGCTCATGATGTGAACCAATTAGGTGACACATATATTAAACGCAAAGTTAAAGCAACTCTAGTTTCAAATAAAGCTTTCACATGTGATGCCGCGTTTAAATGCATGCGTTTATTCGTTGGTTACAAATCATCAAATCAAAGCTTTAAACAATTAGAAGTAGAAACTGAAAGAGGTGATGCCGGTTATCTTCAGATGGATTGCGCACGTGAATCTTTTGCATTTGCAACATATAAACCAAAATCAGAAAGGAAAGTTAAAAAGTTTGTTCATTCGTTATATAATAATGTTCAAAAATATGATAACTCAGTATGTGGTAAATATATTGACCCTTCAGAAGTTTTCGAGAACGCAAATAAAGAAGTTGATGTCACTTTTGATATGATTATTCCGGTAAATGATTTGTTAGCATTTCAGGCGTTCGATGATTATCCTAAATCATTTGGTGATATCATTCTTAAATATTATGTTTTCAGGGATACTTTAGTATTTTGTCAGGTTGATCCGTTAAGAGTTGCTGATTTACAAAATTACGTTTATGAAAAGATAACTGATGAAAATTATGAAAAGATTATGAATCATGTTTATAAATATGATCGCAAATTCCAACAAATCGGACTTCCTGCCAAATTAATTACAAGCTTAGCCGCTACATCTGCTGACGCAACAGTTGATGACGTTATTATTTCATGCACAAAGATGGAAGTTTTAGAGGATAAATGCATTACACCAGGATACGGTTTAATTGAAGAATCAGTTAAAGCAATACCACGTTTATTCAGTAAGGAAGATCCATTCATGATTCCAGCTCAACATATTGACGTTCGTTCACTAAATGGAGGTTGCATCACTCCTGAAGGTATTAGCTCAGATTTCTCATATGCTCTTCATAATGTTACAGATGTTGTGTTAACATTTCCGAAGAATGCAATGCAAAGAACGGTTTTAGAAAATCCAATGCTTCGAGGTCTTCAGGTCACTATAGATTCCAGAAACTTCCCCGATCAAGCGATGACCACAGTGGGCGACATATTCTTTACACGCATGCTTCAAGCTTCTGATTTAGATGGAGTGAATGAATGCACAGAAGAATACGAGGACTCATTAACTAGACCACTGAATGATGATAATGGCACGCCATTAGCTAGAACATGGAAAGACCAAACTTCATTCTTATGCACTATTCCAGTTCAACGTGATGGAGCGGGTATATTCTTTGATGGATTAGAAACTTTCAACTCACAAGTTACAGTACAAGTGAAAGCTTATCCAATCATTCAGGGTGTAAATGACACTTACTGTTCAAAGGTGACAAATCCTCCTCAGGTTTGGTTTACTAGGACTACATATTGGACGTGGACACCGGACGAAGGTTTGAAATATCATCCAACAGGTACACCACCACAGTATAGAAGTTCATATGATGAAATATTGATGAATAGAAATGTTTAAAATTATAAATTTATTTTTGATTAAATGGATTTAAATTCATCCACCACTTATGAAGAATTAGCAGGAGTATATAATACATACGTAGATGATATGATTAATGAAGCATTGAGTGATAATAGAAATGCTCTATCTAAGGAAAATTAATGAAAATTCCATATTCTGAATGTTACTTAAATTCAATCACTGCAGCAATTGGTAAACAAAATAAGGGTAAAACATTAACGATATTAAAAAAATTATCATTATTGCTAACACTTCCCCCTATTCACATGTGTTAATTTATATCAACCGTTCAGGTTCACCTTCAGATGATACATTTGAATCTTTAAAGCATTTAATCAAAATTCCAATTATTTATTTATCACAAGAAGAAGCAGAAGATTATTTAAAAAACTTTTTAATGTATAAAGAATTATATAATACAATCAAGAAGCAAGGATTAGAGGATAAAATTATTGATAAACAACAGGATGAATTATTTGAAACACTTTCTATTTCAAATTTTGATAGAGAATTTTTGCATTCACTCATTTTTCTAGATGATGCAGTGAAATCAAAACTAATAACAAATGAGAAATCCTATTTTAATCAGTTATTAACTCAATGTCGACACATTCAGTGTTCATTCTTCATGGCTGTTCAATACTTCAAAGCATTAAGCACAAACATTAAATCAAATCTATCAACCCTTTTCATTTTCAGTGGGTTTAGTCGTCAACAGTTGAACGTTATGCTTTATCAAGTGAATCTACCAATGAGCATTAATGAACTTTACACACAATATCAGCAATTAGGTGAACATGGGAAAATAATAGTTGATTTAAATAAAGGAAGTGTTAAATTTGATTAACTTTTTATAATTAATTTTTATTTTTTATTTATAATTAAACATGACAGAAATAGCAAATCTTCTACAGGTTCCATTAAAACAAGGAACAAACAAAAAGGGTACATATAATAGAACTATGAAAGTTCCTGATGGAATGAAAGAATTAGTTCATATTGTTGCTGGTCTTCAAAAAGATGTTAAACAAATGAGAAACGTTTTAACATTACCAGAAGCTCAAGCATATGCCAAACGTCATGGTCCAAATTGGGAAGCACACGAAGCAGACATTACGGGTCCAAATGGAAAACCTGATGGTATAAATGAAGTTTTCATTACTGATGGTCAAGGTAATATTAAAGTCATAAATGGTTATAAATTAACTATAACTGATTATCCTAAACGTAAAGCATATAATGAACGTTATCCTATGCAATTTGATGAAAATGGAAAAGCTGTTAAACAATACATTGGAGAAGGTGAAAATGGTCCAATTAATTCATACCGTCATAATCCATATTCTTATTTCAATGAAGAATTAAATGCTATTGAAGAGGGACCGGATGGATTACCACGATATTCTAACCAGTTTGATGGTCAATATGCAAATATTAGACCTGAAATTTCAGCTAAGAAATTCTTTAAAGTTGCTTTATTCGATCCAGTTTTCGCAAATGTTAAAGATGAACTTAAACAGCAATTCCAACCAATTATAGTAGCAAGAATTGCATCAGGTGCTTTATCTTAAGCATTCAAAGATTTAATTAAGAAACCATTATATCAGCAACGAGGTTTAACTTATGATTTAGTTAAGGAATCAGATAAAAGAAAATTTGAGAAATCAGATGATTATAAGAATGCAATTAATGAATATATTCGGTCTATTAATTTCGATGAAAATGCTAAAAATCAACTTCATGAACAAATACAGGGAATAATAGATTCAAAAGTTCCAGCAAAATAAAAGTTTAAATATATTTTTTTTATTCGATTATAAATGAGAAGACGTTTCACTAGTCAAAAGAACACTAACGCAAAAGCAGAGATTACGGTTGGTTATAACGTAAATGATGATAAATCACGAATTATTCAAAATGTTAAAGTTAATGTTAGCCCCGAATTAACAAGGTCAGCAACTCAACCAAATTTATTAACTCGTGACTTACCGAAGAATGAGGAGAATGAAGAAAACCATGAGAATGGAGACCCAATCATTTTATCTGAACCCGGTAAAGAACCTGTTGAAATTCCCACTTATCCAACATACTCCCCACCTCTTTCATCAAACATCGAGAACCCATATAAAATAGACATTAATTCTGAATTAATGAAAATTTACCGTGATATAATAATTAATAATTATGATTCAATAATAAATTTAATTGACCAATCCGGTTTAATTATTTTACCTTATGAATCATTAATTCACATTATCGCCATTCTTTGTGATGTTCAAGATTCAGACGTTAAGATTCAATTTTTCATAGATGATGAGTTTTCATGCTGCGGAACAGTTGCAAAAATAAATCCTATAAAGGATATTAGCACAATTAAGATATCAAAGAACGGAACAACAACTGAACTTCATTTAACATATAATGATATTTATAATAAAATAGTTGATGAATATAAAATATCACTTGAAAAATTCTTTGTTAAGGCTATTTAATATTCAAGCATTAACATTATCGAATAATAATCCTTTGAATCATAATCGATAATAATTGACCTTTCACCAGTTTCTATCGTTTGTTTTATTTCTTTTTGTTCCCCACTATCTGGATCGGTCATTGTAATTGTTTTTGTTATAGTATCTGCTTTATCTTTAACTTCAATCTTTTTTCCATCGGGATATTTAAACCAAAATTCCAAAAATTCGATATTGTCAATCTGTTCATATTTTAATCTATCAATTACATTTTAATACCATCTGAAAATCTTATGAAATGGTCATTATATGGGTTTGATTGAACTAAATTTGAATGAAGTGAAATATAACCTGTTGATGAATATGACATTGACTCATATTTTCTGAAAACACTAAAATTTATAACATGAATGAATTTCTTATTCGTTGAATTTATGAATTCTTGAGGTAATCTTATTCTAGTTTTATTTATCACTGGAAAATAACGCTTTACCATATTTTTAATCGTAATAAAAATGTCAATTATCAATATTATTTCGAATAATAACTGTGAATTAAATTTAACAGTTAGCGGAATTTATAATGTTACTCTCGTTTCTGTGAGTGGTAAATTTAATCCCATTCTTTTAGACCCTTCAGATTATATATCATTTATTAAAGATGACCTTGAAAAAACGTATGATATGTATATAAATAATGTGATAACGAAATGGGATATTAACATGATTTTAAGTTATTTAAATGAATCATTTATCGTATGGTATGAAGAAAATTTTAAATCAAAACCCGATAAACTTTTTGAACTTGATGAAATAAATAACCTTATTAAATTTCCGCTGAAAATTAAATTTTGTACTCCTCATCTTCGTTCATTGTTGGGAATATTAAATTTTGAAAAAGATGTTGGGGATGTTTTGTATTCTGACACTGGTTCCAATTTCATTTTAATCAAATGTGATAAAGTTAATACCCCAATGAGATTTTCACATCAAACATTAGACCCTAACTCTTACCCATCAATACAAAACATTTTATCCATCAACTTAAACACATTTTCTTTATCATATCCGTTTCAATTATCCGGGAATTCATTTATTCTTCATTCAAAAGATTTATCAAATATTAAATTTAGAATAACTGACCTATTTGATTGTGATTTAGAATTTATGAATGAAATATTATGGCAATTTCAAATAGAAAAAATAGCTGATGAGATAACGGATTAAATATTTATTTTTAAATCATAATAAATGATTAAACAACAGCAACCACAACAACTTAAGGCACATTAGTAGGAATTGATTAACCAACATTTCTTATAAATCCAAAACTTCGAACTCGGATAAAAAGTAACATATTGAAATTATTAAAACAATTTTTAATCAGAAAATAGATTCTTAGTTAAATCCTAGATATCTAGCCGGTATATCTTGAAAATCTGAAGGATTATTTCTATACCATCTATAGAATTTCCATTTCAAGCTAATACATTGATTATACATAGCGCATCCAGGAAGTAATTTAATTTTAATATAGTGATTTCCTCTTGTGAAATACTGCCTAGGTGTTGTCACAACTGATTCACCTTTTTCTTCGCAATCAAATCTGTCATCAAGTGATCCAACAACAAGATTACCATCGATATATAGTTCTGCTTTTGGAATAGATTTGAGCTGGAATTGTAGATCTGTATTTTGAGGAACATAGAGAATTGAATTTAGTTCTATTGTTGAATAGGATTCTGAGAATTCTTTCATTGAGAAATCTTCATAAACTTGATAAGAATCTGTTGTCGAATCATTATAATAAGATGTATAAACAACACCTCTCTTTCCTTCTGGAAATACATATTGGGATGTATCTTCACAGAAGATATTATCAGAGAAACTATTACAAGTGCATCCGAGGCCATCTGATTCTCTGCCGTATTCAAGAGAGCCATGTTCGTTACAGTATGCATCATTATATTGACTACATGTATCTGTGTAATATCCTGGCAAGCAATCTTCTGTATAGCAGTCCATAATCGTAGTAGATGTACTATCAATTAATGTTCCATTAAGATAACCTTCTATACGATCAGTCACACAGTTATTTTCATCAGCAATTGTATATGGATAACATCTATTTGCATAAAGATATTGATTAAACGATTTTTCTTTCCAACCAGTACATTCATCACCTCTATCTTTCTGGTGTTGATTGACAAACTTGGTATAGATAGCGGGCCATGCTTTGGATTTAATTTCATAATATCCAGATACTTTGGGGCAAAATGAGCCGGCAATCCAATGCCAATGATGACTGTTTGAACTACTTTTTCGATAGTATGATGTTACTTTACCAACATAGTGATCATCATGATCATAATAGTTTAAAACTCCTAAATTTCCATTACTTTGTGAGGAACATGCGATTTTTGGAACTTTAATATCATCATCTTCAAGCACATTATAGAAAATTAAGTATTGAAGCATTACAGGTTCACTTTGAGAAGAAATAATTGGATCACATCACTAAGTATGACGAAAATTTGCATCATATTAACGATATTAAAAAATGGAAAATGGAATAATAATACTCCATTTACTATAAATCATAATAATAATGCAGTTCAGTAAGGAAGTCAATTTGGAAAATTGTTTTCACTTTAGGAGAATATAATTTTCCATTTGGAAAATTTAAAAAGTGAGACGCGCAGGATTCGAACTTTTTTAAAAGTTGATTTAAATGAATTTTAGTGTGGAATATAAGGATAATATCATATTTAAAATAAGAATATACTAGTTTAGGTGGTATTAATTTTTTCGATAAATTTGAGAGTATGCACGTTTAGGGCATGAAAAGTGTCAATTCGCTCAGCGAAAGCTGAGCTAGCTTCGTTCTCGAAAGAATAAGGAAGGAGTGAAGGAGAATGATACAGAAGTTGACACATTCATATCATTTCAACAAATTTTGATCAAATTGAAATTCAATAAAATTCAATTCAATTCATATCCTTCAGTCAGTACATTGATATCCTTCTGCATCACAATGATAACTCGGGCATCAATAGTTCTACAACTAACTCAGAAAAAACAAGATTATTACTTCCTGCTTACAGCTTTTAAAAAGTTTCGATGATAAAAATCACTCTACTCTCGTTTATCGACATATGGTGATAGTAGGTAAACATATTCTTATCGATATTAATAAAAATATTTGTACGAAAATCTTATCCAATTAGAGAGTTATTCATAAAGTATATGATAATTATAATTACTTTATCTTTGTTTTATCTTTGAATAAACAATTAATTTAAATTGCATAATATTTTTTGGTTGAAAGACAGGAAACTTAGTTGAGTTTGTATTATTTTTATCGTTTAATTCATCGTATCAGTGAGTGATCCAGATATTTAAGATATTTAGAAAAAAAATTATTAATTTGATTAACAAATTTTAATCAAAATAGCAAAAATCTATTTGATAGCTGTAAACAAACAATAATTTTTATTTCAAGCAAAATCACTTATTTTCATCTAAACGTATAAAATTGTCAATTTTATGAAAATAAATTGAAAATCTCATGAAATGTAAAGGAGAGTAATATTTTTCAATTTTCTTTTTTTCTTTGTCTCAAATATTTTCTGTTGGGAATTTTCTTGTTATCAAAAAATAATTTTAATATTTGTTTATTTCATTACATACAATAAAATTTTAAAAACTCTATTTCTTCACAAGAAAATTTTTTCCTTCATATGAAGAAACATTTTGTTCTCCATTTGATACTGAGTCTAAATCTCGATTTTTGAATTTTCTTCTTTCCAAATTTTGCAAATTACCTCAGACTTTTCAGAGGATTGAGTTGCCACTCACTCCTCTGAAATAGTCTGTGGTAATTTTTAGTCTCTACACTATTTCAATATAAGCTCCATTTTTAAACAGTTTTTAAAAATGGAGCATTGAAAAGTGTGATGAGACTGTTGCATGCTAAGATCAGTCATAATGTAAACCTCTCAATTTTATTGTCGTGGGAAGTATCTCAATTCCTTCAAAAAAATTGAAAAACTATTTAATTTTAAAAATATAATACTTTTAATTAGTTAATTAATTGGAGATATTTTTTAAAAAATCACTTTTGATAATACTTTTGAGAACTTTAATTAAAAAAATATATTCAAAAATATCCAGGATATCAAGAGGGAATTGTTCCTTATGAGGTATATAGTTATGATGTATACCTCATAAGGAACAATTCCCTCCTTAAAACGAGAAAACTTGTTCGAAATTGTTTATCATTTCGAACAAGTTTTCTCGTTTTTAATAAGAAACTAAAGGCTATGAGGCACTGATTATATATTAGTGCCTCACAGCCTTTAGTTTCTAATAGATAGCTGGGAAACTTTCTCCAAATGATAAGTTATTCAGAGAAAGTTTCCCAGCTATCAAGAGGGAATTGTTCCTTATGAGGTATATAGTTATGATGTATACCTCATACGGAACAATTCCCTCCTTTAAAATCGTAGACATTTTTATACTTATTAATCAACCATTCAAAATCATATTCCTCTGAAAAGTTATTTTATTAAAAATTTAGAATTTTAATAAATATAGAGTTTGAATTTCATACAATACCTATATATTTTCAATAATGGAATTTGAAAACCATTCTCAAAAGTTCTCAGAAAACCTTTTTTTTCATTAATTTTAAGAAATCTGAGTATTAAATTAAGTGATAAATTCGTTTGACACTACTTTAATTTTTAAATTCAAAAAATTATATGTGCTTCTTAAAATGACTCAAAAAATTTTATTATAAAATAATATATAATATTAAAAATCCCACAACATTTTTTACTTTACATAATCGTACTTCCTCGACGATTAATTTACACTCAATTTCTATCGTTGACCGAACTTAGCATGCAACAAGACTTCTTTTTTCCAAATTAGAAGTTTAATTCAAATTTTCAATAGTTTATATATTTTCTCAAACCGTCTCAGATTTTCTCACTTTTTAGGGATTTTCTCTCAAAATATACAAAAATAGTAATATCAATACATGTGTCTAATATACTTTAAAACCATCGTGACAAAATTCAAAAACGAAGAGTTCTTCTCTCCAAATTTTTTTCAAAATCAAAAAAATGAGATAAAAAAGTACATTTGGAAAATTCATTTTTAGCATTTTAGGAATTTTCTCACTTTTCTTCCAAATTGACATCCTTACAACAAACTATCTAAATTAATTTTTGGTATCGGTTTTGGTTGAAAATTTTTTGAAATCATAAATCACACATTGATTTTGAAACGAACGCATCTCATTAGTCATGTGATTTTATCCCAAGCATATGGGGATTCTAAATTTTTGTCCCTATCGTTATCCCAATTGAATTTTTTTTTGGAATTTAAAAATTTTTTTTCTCCATGTAAACTTAAATTTTAATTTTTACCACTAAAATGCAATATTTCAACAAATTAATGAGTAATAATATTTTAATTTATAATAATTATTATAAATCTCCTCAATTTAATGTAATTATTGTATTAATTTTTGTTGAAAATATAAAATCTTCAAGTAAATGATGTGAATTTAATATTTTTAGAATGTTGTTTAATTGTACTATATTATGCATGTAAAATTTTGTTACAATACATTTTATATGGGATCCCCATTGCCCAATTGAGAGAAAATTGAGAGGTGGGATTGAAAAAAAAAAAAAAAAAAAAAAAAAAAAAAAAAAGGAAGTGGGGCTTCCAGGCACTTCGTGCCTTCTAGCCCTAAGAATTTTTCCCAAGACCCAAGAGGAGGACCGAACCCCAGCCGACCAGCCGTTGATTTTTTTGTCAAGACTTCTTCGTAAATGTTTTGTCAAGACTTCATCGTAAATGTTTTGTCATGATTTCATCGTAATGAGCGTAAATGACCCAAAAATATAATTTAGGTGAAGAGGTGAGATGTCACCCGTTTTCTCACCTCATTTTTCACCTCTTGAATTTTCATGATTTCATCGTAAATGCTTTGTCGAAACTTCTTCATCGTAAATGTTTTTTACTTCACTTAAAATGCCACGTAAGCTACGTAAGAATATACGTAAGAGGAAGGGAGCATTGAAACATCCAATAGTAAAACTGACACCACAACAACAGTTGCAACAACAAATGATGAATGACCCCACTATGTTGCAACAAATGTCAAGCAACCCTATGCTTTTAAACCGAGTTATTGGTGCACAGAGTGGAGGTTTAAGAGCGGCACTTTTAGCGAAAATGGCAGGCTATGGTGGAGCTGCAGACGGAACAGCCTATAACCCTCAAAGTCAAATGAATTTGAGTTCACTCAAAAATCAAATAACAGATGTCAAAAAGTCAAACATAGACATACAGAAGCAAATAAGTGAAAACGAAAAGAAACTAGAATATGACAGACACACAAAGAAACTCAATGAGTTAAACGTAGAGAAAAAGAAAAGAAGAACAACTGAAAGAACTAAGTACAGAGGAATATGCGAAAAAAGTGTCAGAAAAAGCAGCAGAAGTAGCAAAAATGGAACAAGATGTTATAAATTTGAAAAACCATACTACTCAATATAAAGTACTGAAAGATGAAGAGATAAAACAAAAAGCCGTGAAGACATATATGGATAGCGATGAGTATAAAAAAGAAGTTGAAGCAAATGTAAAGGCAGAAAAACTTTTACAGTTGCAAAACCAAACCGTACAGTATGAAAACTTAGCACAAGAAAGTAAAAATAACGACGCAGCCATGCAAAAGGCAATGAAAAGCGCAGAATATATAAAAGCTAATAATGACTGGTTAGATGCCCAAGCCAACGCTAAAGCAGCCCAACTTATAGGGTCAATAAGGACAAAAATACAAGCGGATGAAGACAGTTCAAATGAAGCTTTAATGAATGCTGACTTTAAGAACGCCTTCGAAGCTCTTCATAGTAAGGTGAAACTAGTGAACGACTTCTCATCTGGAAAGAAACTGAAGTCTGAAGGTTTCGACAACGAGTTAAGAGAAGTAGCACAAAATATGACGAAAATAACAGATGCAGCAACGAGACAGGCAGTTCAAAGTGCCTATGACGCCGTTAGAGCGACTGTTGTGGAAAGTCAAGAAAAAGAGTTACAACAGACCAAAACAGACCTAGTAAATGCTTTCTTAAGAACGAAAAGTCAGGTAGGACATTATGCTGCAGATGGAACATATGTGCCAGCTGGTGGAACTTATATACCAGCTGGTGGAACTTATATACTAGCTAGTGGAACTTATATACCACCAAACCCTCCAAGAGAAGCACCTGCACCAGGACTACCTAAAACATTTACATCGTCACATGGACACAGACACAGGCATGCACCACAACAACAACCAAAACCAACAGTTCAAAACACTGCACCACAACCAACAGTTCAAAACACTGCACCACAACCAACAGTTCAAAACACTGCACCACAACCACCTCCACAACCAGCACAGCAACAACCACAAACAGAGCAAGGACATAAAAGAAGTAGAGAACAAGGAAACCAAGAATTCTTAAAAATGCTTAAGGAAAATTATGGTTACCCAGATACTCTTGACTTTAGTGACAGATATAAAGAAGCTATTAGAAAGTTCAAGGAAGGAAATACTGACCCGAACCTATTTAGCTTTATGGTTCAGCACCAAATGGGATATAATTTCAAACCTGGAAAATACAAGCTCGCTAAGGGATATGATTTAATAGCATATCATCCAAATGACATGACTGAATTTACTCCGAGATATTTGGTGTCAGAGATAAATGATAATTCAACTATCTTCATGAAACGCGTAAAAAATAGAGACGGAACGAAAGAAGAAAGGGTTATGAATGCGGATGGCTTAAATAGGAACTTGTTAAAAACGGTCTCGGAATATATGAAATGCCAGCAGATGAGGTACAAGAAACTCCACAGGAAGAAGTTCAGATACAACCAGACATGGAAGAAATAGTTCAGCAACAACAGCTAGAAGAGCCTGAAGGAAACGAACAAGTCCCTCCTTTGGAAACTAACTTCACAGAACTAGATGAAGATTTGGAACAGCCGAAAAATCTTGACCCTCAACAAGAGTATGCGGAGAATATGGAATCTTTCCAAGAGTCTAAGAAAAATTCGGCTGACATAGTAGAAGAATATCGAAAAATGTTCGCCGACATACAAAAGACTCCAACATCAGATGAAAATATCCAGCATAGAATGGAAGAACTGAAAGAAAGTGTACGCAAATACAACAATCCTTTTTACTTACGACCATATAACGTTCAATCTTTGGCTGAACTCGGTGAAAATAAAAGGTTAAATTTCACCAAAACATATAGAAATGAAACATTGTTTAAAGTTCATTCAGAACCTAACCAATATGGAAACAAACCTACTTTTGTTTCTGCAGACGATGGAACTACAATGAGATGGGGTCATAAAGCTAACCCGGATAGGTGGTTCATAAACTTACAACCACAATTCCAAGAAGTTGTAGACGCAATGGAAGTGAATGGTGAACCAGATATAGCTGGTATTTTCAGCGCGGCTTTAATGCCATTGAAAGATATGAAAGATGCAGATATTTTGGACCAGTATGAAATGAACATGGCTGATGGAAATATAACACCTGACGTTCTAAACATTTATCTCAAAGAACTACACAGAACCATAGAGATGGTATATTTGGTGAAGAGTTTAGAAAGAAAGTTAGGGAGACAGAAGGAAGAGAACCTATTGTACATGACCTTGCAAACGAAAGTTTACAAAATGTCATAAAAACTTACTTTGCAGACAATGAACCGAGAAGGGATGAATATTTAAGAAAACTCAAATGGACAGTACCAAATGAAATGTTAGTATTGAAAAACATGTTCCTTGACAAAATAAAACAAACTACAGAAATAAATGACGCAAGACTGAAACATTGGGTAAAAGCTTTCCCATTCACAAAAGATATTGTTGGTAACATGGAAAAAACCAGAATGGCTACAAAAACATATATTTGGAAACGAGCTTATTCCATATGGACAAGCTCTGTTTGAAGGAGCTTGAACCGGAAAACTCAGGAAAGAGTCATGCAAAACAATACGCGAAGACTCAAATACAAACTATGACAAAATCTTTCTAGGATATAGGTTACCTGAGATGGGCGACCAGAGCCCAAAGGCAAAAAGGACATGGGAAATTTACAACATACTAGGTGAACATGAGGCAAAGATGCAACAACTTAAGCAGAGGGCAAGTTACCAAAAAGCGACACCAAGAAGAAGAGTAGAACAAAGTGTGAAAGTAGTGAAGAAGTAACTTCATCTAGTGAAAGTAGTGGCAATGAAGGAAAAAGAAGAGTTAAAAACTCAGTCAGGAAGAAAGTAAAGCTTGGTCCGAGTGGTTCTATTATGATATATAAATCCAACTATTCTATATTTTTACCCATATGAAATGTACGCCGCTCAGAATATAACGCCAACAGTTTTGGATGCTATGAACGGAAATGTTTCCGAATGGTATAACGAATGCGACAATGCCATTAGAAGGTCAGAAATAGTTCCTGGAACTTACGAATATACAACTGCTGTTTCTTATGGAAACGTAGGTGAGTTTGGAGAAGGTTCTTCAACAACAGTAGATATTGCTTGCGACAGGTTTCATATTATTTCTATTGACAACTCATTCTTATACGTGGAACAAGACATTGAAATAAAACCTTCTGCCAAGTTGTCTGACAAGAAAGGTTGCAATGGAATTTCTATGTCGGATACCAATATGCTCCAGAAGTTTTCATGGGATATAAGATATATTCTAACTCTGACTTAGTTCAAACAGTAACATGGGCAAACTATGAATGGTTTCGCTTTGAGAAACTCAGTACAACCACAAGCTAGAGAACAAACAGACCAGTATGCAAATATTGAGAAAATAAGAAGACTTGACCCTAACGTTCCAGGAGTTTATGTTAACCTTTCTGGTTCAGATGGAACTGCTGCCACTAAAGTAAAACTGAAACTTAGAGTTCCTTTGTCATCTTTCCTCATCTTCAGGTTTTTAAGATACTTGCCAAACTGGGCAGGAAAAATTTCTATTGAACTTACTCCAAGCAAAAATAACTTAGTCATTGCACCAACACAAGACCCATTCAGCATTACTATAGCTGGAACTGGTGAGCCAAGTTCTGTGACTTTTGCAAAGACAAAGTTGACTTAGACTTTGGTTTCTCAAACTTCAACAATGAAGTAAACTATTATTTCAATGCTGCTGGAACTGCTTGGGACCCAGTTAAGTTCACATGCGAAAAATTTGAATGCAAGAGAATAGAAAGCAGACTTGCAGTCTATATGTTGGACCCAGATATTTCAAATGCTTTAGCTGCCAAATATATTGCAGTTCCACTTATGTTCCCTATACACCAAATATCTGTCAAAGACTTTGCAGGTGAAGTTGGAAACCAAAGTGCTGACCCAGGTGCAAGAACAGATATTGCTTTAACAACTGCAATGAAACATGCAGATACTATGTTTGTACTGTTCAGACGAACTATAAATGACTATTCTTGTTTCTACAACCCTGGTATTAAATATCATATAAACATAGATGGTAAATATTATCCAAGAGAAGAATATTCTTACAGTTGAGGATATGAGGTCATACAACTTGACATTAGATGCTATGAACTTTAACAACAACTTCACAACAACCATTAACCCTGAAATGCAAAGTTCTATTATGCCATATGTGAAAGTATGGACTCATACAGGAGGTCAAAAAACTCAATATACAAATGGAGACCGTTCAAACTTTTGGCTTGGCATTCCATTTGCTGACTCAGAAGACTTTATGGGTGGTATTTCAACTGTTGGTACTGTACAAATACAATATACTGGTGACAGAGACGGTCCAGATGAATTGAGAGCAAAGAAGTTTACAAAACCAATAGCACTTTTCACGGAAGATGCTCTTTTGAAGATTCGTTCGATGAAACCTGCTGGGGCTCCTCAGATTGGCATAACGACAGCTTCCATCGAGCAGATTTTGGCAGCAGGTCAGTAAGTTGTTCTTGAACTGACTTCTCTCCGTCAAATATTGACAGTACGCCAGTTTTGACATAATATTGTAAGATAAACTTACCTTTAGAAATATCTGTAAGTTTTGTTGTTATATTTTTGTCAACGTCAAGAACTTTCACCATCTCGGTTATACCAACTTTCTTTGCTTTATGAAAATATTTTGGTTCAGCAAAGACTGCTATTCTATAACATTTTCCATTGTTTGTGTAAAGAACTATTCTGTCAATGTATTTGTATTGTTTGTGAGTATAAACCTTGTTTTGCTTCAATTCGAAGAGATATCCGAATACGTCCATCTTTTTATTCTAAGTAAAATGTCATTTCCGAAAAATAGAAGCGTAAGTGTTTCAAAAGGTTTAATGGCGGTGGCAGATGTGAAGTTAAATTCACCAACTCAAACAAACAGTCAAAGTGTTGTTGTCAATGTTAAAGACAGAGATGTTGAAGTGGGGAAACCATACGAAGACGAAGATGGTATAACAATTGTTCCTGTAAAAGAACCAACATATCCTGAAGTTAGCAGAGACTTAAGTTCTGTTGCAGATATTCGAAACGACTACCAACAACTGAAAGACAAACTTCAAACTCAGGAGAAGATTTGTCAAGCTTTAGGTATAATGTTAAACTTGGTCGAACACAACCCTGTAAAAGTGAACTCATATGTCATTGCACCTCATGAAGTTTTGAAAGAACTATTGAAACTTTTGACAGAGGCAGACGATATAAACATCAAAGAAATAGAACCCGACGTTAGTTGCTGTGGTGTTTCATATAATGTCATTGACAAGATATACGTTATGAAAGGAGGTGAAACGTTGAACTTAAAGTATAGTTTCCCAGACGTCATAAAAATATTTGACGACCACAACATTTCATTAAAATTTATTTGCTAAGTAAATGGCAGAAGACATAATGGTTTATACTATTACGACTAAAAACCCTGAGTCATATAATTCTATAACAACAAACTTACAAAGTCCTCAAGGATGATATTGTAAACTAACCTTAAACACAATGACGACTAAAGCCTGTTTTGCTCTTTTGACACCAGAAGACTTTATTGTTGTGAATGGTAAAAAATACTCCTTTGAAGATACTTACTCAGATATACCACCAACAGGTTTTGTTGACTTATTTAATACTTTAAGGACGGATGTAACATGTGCTGCAACTAGAGCAGGTTTCATTATGTTTGGATGTCCGACTGAGTTTACTATAAACAATATGAGCTATAATACAAAACTTATTTCTGGTTTTTACTACCAACAGTTTCCTATAACAGGAAAAGGTGTCATACAAGGAATGTCTATTCCATTGACATTAAGCACACCAATCTTATATATTGTTTCAAACTTAGGTTCAAAGTGTTATTCGAATGTCGACAGAAACTATTATGACCAAAAGATACTTATGCGTATAAAACAATACTTTCTCTGCTGGTTTGCCTATTGTTCATTCGAATGCAGAATTTTCAACCTTAGTGAACTCAAACACTTTGGCAAGTAAACGTTGACATTAGTTGACGCAAACTTTGTTCCTGTAAAACTTTTATGTCCTATGTATTTGTCAATGACGGCAGAAAGTTTCGAATTGGAAGATGCAACCGGTGAAAGTATTGTATTACAAGAACAACTTCAACAACAAATAGCTCAAGAACAACAAATGCAACAAATGCAACAACAAAGTCAAGAATAAAAAAAAATATTTTTTTTATTTTTATAAAAATGTACAGAATAGATGTTTCAGATTTTTATGACTTCCAAGCATTCAGAAATATGTGTCCATTTAGAGACTATAACAAAGCAGTCGAGAATTTGAAACGTTTAGTCATTTATGTTGACTCTGCCCCAGAATGTTATGTCATGAAAGAATGGGATGTTGTCTTTAACAAACCAAGAGCAACAATAGTTTCAGAACAAGAATGTAGACAGAAACTTAAGAAAATAAAAGTCGTACAAGTTGGCATGAAGATGTTAGATGCTTGGGATATCTTATTGTCAAAGTTAGAAGATTTTTCAGTTCGAGGTATAAAGTTCTATACACCTTCTCCAAACTTCTATTCTATCTTCACTGGATATAAATACGAACAAGTAGAATGGAAAGAAAATATTATAGAAGCTTGGTTAGACCATGTCAAAGAAATTATATGCAATGGAAACGAAAGAGTCTATGAGTATATCTTATGTTGGTTTGCAAACATCTTACAACATCCAAGTGCTAAAAATGAAACTGCTCTCATTATAATTGGAAAACAAGGAACAGGTAAGAACACATTCTTTACAGATATCTTATGCAAACTGTTAGAGGGCTATTCGAATCCGAATATGACAAACTTAGAAAACATCTGTGGCAAGTTTAACTCCTCAATAGAGAATATGAAACTTATAGTTTGCAATGAACTTCAAAGTATAGATACAACAAAAGTTTTAAACTCAGATGCTTTGAAGAGTCTTATAACAGACAAAGTTGGAGTTGTTGAAAGAAAATATAAAGACCAAAGAGTTTGTGAAAATGTTGCAAACTTCATTATGGTTTCAAACAATGTTGTTCCGATGAAGTTAGAAAGTTCTGACAGAAGATATGTAGTTGTCAGAACGTCAGATTCTCATATGCAAGATACAGAATATTTTGACGACTTAGCAGAAACTTTGACATCTGACTTTTACAACCACTTGTTCTCATATTTTATGACATTAGATATTTCAAAGTTCAATCCAAGACAAATTCCACATACCGAAGAAAGACAAACATTGTTAGAAGCAAACAAGAGTGTATATGAACTGTTCATAGATGAAACTGACTTTGTGTCATTAGATGAAAGGTCATTGTACGATGAATATAAACAATATTGTCAAGAATATGGTTATATGACAGCGTCTAAACGAACATTCTTGGCAAATGTCAAAAGTCTTTTAGACGTACAGAACGGCGTATATACAAAGAAAAATTTTTATGAGTAAATTTTAAAAAAAATCTTTTTTTTATTTTATTTGAAATGTACGCTGAGTTTGTTGGAAAAGACTGTTGGAAAACTTGTTTGTTAGATGAGAAATATGAAATTCACTGTTGTGAGTCATTTGAAGTCAGAAACAAAAAGACAAAAAGAGTTTTAAGCGAATGGGAGCGAAATGACGGATATACTACTATGAAGATGAGTGGAAAACACTATTTTAAACATATTGTCATTGCAACTCATTTTATACCGAACCCTAACAATCTACCTCTTGTAGACCATATAAACCATATAAGAAACGACAATAGACTTGAGAACTTGCGTTGGGTCACATGTTCTGAAAACAATAAGAACATAGGCAAATTTCGAGATATTGTATTCGAATTTGTCGACGAACTAGAAGATGAAACAATTGAAATTACAGACTATGGCAAGCATACGTTTGAGTTTTACTACTATAGCGAAGAACAGGACTCTTTCTACCTTTATACCGGCGTAAACTATAGGAAATTACAAGTATATTTTACTAAGACGGGCTATGCTCATGTAAACGCTAGAGATACAGATGGAAAAAACGTTCGAATACTTCTTAACAAATTCAAGAAGCTATATGGCATACCATTTTAAAACGTTTTTTTTAAAAAAAAATCTTTTTTTATCCGATAGAAAAGATGGCAAAATTCATCTCAGTAAATAAGTACATGACAGAAGTCAAAGATAAGTTAGCTCCATTCGCATATTTGAATGTTTACTTCTACAATTTTGAAAAGTCTACATTTGACAAAATTTGGAACATTGCACCAGTTAAGTTTGCTGTTGTTAGAAAAAGTGGTGCAACTTTTGAAGACTTATACATTGACGGTATGTTGACAGTCAAAGAAAATTTTGACAGAAAGTTCTCAAAACTCGAAGAAGGTAAAGCATACAAACTTGTTATACCTTATGAACCAAAGAAAGCAGACGACTATGAATATTATGAGTCTAAGATAGTTGAAGTTCAAGGTAAATTGGGTAAAAAGATTTTAGAGTCTAAGCCAGTGTTTACTCCTAAAGAGGAAGAGAACATTGACATTGACCCAGAAATGTTCTAAAAATAAAATTTTATTTTTACATGTCAAATTTCTTTTTCTCTGGTTCAGGTTCTTTCTTCTCTTCTTCTACTTTCTTTTCTTTCTTTTCTCTCTTCTTCTTCTTCTCTGGTGGAGTTATGTCAAATTTGGCGCAACCATATTTATGTAAAAGTTCTTTGTCCTTTAATAGCTCATCTATTCTGTTTTCTATTTCATCTTCAAGAACAGCGCATGTGTCTTCTTTGCATTCTAAGAACTTTTGTTGGACTTCATCTTTCCAATCGGCGTCATCTCTGTCAACAAGTCTGTCATTGACAAATTTTAAGACTGCTCTGCTTAATGTTTTATGGTTCTTGTCATATTCCCAGAAACAGAACTTTAGAACAAATTCACCTTTCTTGTTTACACTATGTAAGATTTTATGGTCGACAGATGTTTTGCTGTCGAAAAGTTTGTCTCGAATATAGATAGCGAAATCGCTCGACATTTTCAAAAAGATAAAAATTTTAATTTTTCTAAAAATATGTTAGAAAAAAAGTTTGCTGACATTGACAAGAAATTTGAGAATGTTTTAAATAAGAACAAGAGGAAGTTGGAAAATGCTCAGATAAAGCCTATACATGACAAGTTCTTATTTGCTCAGAATGGTATAACAGGTCTAATCGCACCACCTGGGTCGGGTAAGACTTTCACTTATCTTAAAATGGCTGCACAACAACAAGAACTAGATGAGAAGAACCCATTCTATGAGTTAGTAGTCATTTGTAGTACTTCTGGTCAATTTGACCAAAACCGTCAATTCGTTCAAAGATATTATAAAGAAGTCTAAGTTAGTATGTATAAAGGATACTGAGTTGTTAGATTGGATAAAGAAGTACCAAAGAAGAGTTTTGAAGTATAATGCTATAAATGAGTATATAAATTCTAAGTTTAAAGACCCAAATGAGGAAATGCAGAGAATATTAGAGAAGAAACACTTCAGAAACAAACAGAAAGAGATAGAATACATTTCGAAGAAATTGCAATCTTACGATTGGAAGACATACCCTCATAGATGTCTTCTTATTTTAGATGACTTTGCTTCTCATCCTTTGTTAAAGAACAGAGAACAAGACATGTGTCGAATTCTTAAGAAGCTCAGACACTTTAACATTTCAGTTGTCATTTGTGTACAGACAGCAAAGAGTTTAAGTAAGGATGTAAAGAGAATACTTACTGATATTGTACTTTTCCCCGGATTGTCCGAAGACGATTTCATGGAACTTATGAAAGAGTCCATGGCAGGTAAGTTTGACAGACATGAACTATGGGAGAAGTATAAAGTCATACAAGACCCTCATACTTCTTTCAGAATTCATATCTACGCAAACAAAGTTCAAATTGTAAAAAGTCAAGCTTGAAAAATAAAGAGTTTTGGCGACCCCGAAAGAAGTCAGTCTAGAGAAATTTCACTGTTTTTGTTGCTGAATTCAATAAAAATATATTTTAGGTGAAGAGGTGAGATTTCACCTCTTTTTTCACCTAATTTTTCACCCCAGTTATTTTTTAAATTTTGTGAAAACTCAACGGTTTGACACATGCCCTAAAAATTATTTTACTCAGAATTTTGTTGCTGAATTCAGCAAAAAATAATGTTTAGGTGAAGAGGTGAGATTTCACCTGTTTTTTCACCTCTTTTCTCACCTGTTATTTTATAAGCGTTTTACATGAATTGTACGATGTATATTTGAAATCCTAAACAGTTTTGTAGCTTCTATTTCTTCGCTGAGGATATCGAATGTTTTAACGATACCGAAAGTTTCTTTATACTTCTTCTTGACGTCAGATAATAGGAAATCTTCTGCTGTTGGATAGTTTTTGTTCAGAAATTCTAACATATCCATTTTATTTTCTGCTGGTTTTTCTGCTTCTTTCTTTAAGTCTGCATAGTCGTTTCGCATACGTTCTATCTCTTTGACGGAGTAGTTATATCTCCTCATTGCTGCTTTACATTTAGAACATTGCGGATTCATTTTTGCGTTATATTCTGAAACCTTACCTGCTAAAACAACCAAGGCGTCAATTGCTCTCTTCATCTCAAACATAGCGGGTCTTATCTGTTCATTCCATACCTTACCCCTACTATCTTTATCTCTTATTTCCCATACACATTTTGCAACTAATGAAACAAAGTTGTCGTAGGTCTTAAATTCTTCAGATTTGTAAAGGTCAGAGATGTTCTTATATAACATGTCGCAATCTTTGTCCATAACCTTATGGTTGCAATGAAAACCAAGGAATTCATAATTTACCTTTCGTATGAACTTCTTTATTTCTACTGAGTCAGTTGCTTTGACTTCAATTTCGTCAAATTCGGGAATAGTGAGTTTTTGCTGCTGAATTTCAGGCAATTTGGGTAAATGGTCAATAATGTCCTGCATTTCATAAAGATACTGTTCATTTGTTTCATCCTGTGCGGTACAGTCTAAATTACTTGTTAACAATTCCTGCTTTATCTTCTGGATTTTTGTTTCGAAAGTATATGAAGAAGGAATGAAGTTTTTCATCTCTACCAACATAGATGTTGGATTCATGACTAACGAGTTTGGTGCTGTAGTTGTTTGAACTGTTGTTGTGCCGATTGTTGAAATCATGTCTTTTATACAAAATAAAAAAAAATAAAAAAATAAAACTAACTTTATTTTTTATTTCGGGAAAATTCATGAGGTGAGAAAAGAGGTGAGAAAACAGGTGAAATCTCACCTCTTCACCTAAACATTATTTTTGGGTCATTTACGCTCATTACGATGAAGTTTCGACAAAACATTTACGATGAAGAAGTTTCGACAAAACATTTACGAAGAAGTCTTGACAAAACATTTACGATGAAGAAGTTTCGACAAAACATTTACGATGAAGAAGTTTCGACAAAACATTTACGATGAAATTCATGAAAATTCAAGAGGTGAAAAAAGAGGTGAGAAAACAGGTGAGATGTCACCTCTTCACCTAAACATTATTTTTGGGTCATTTACGCTCATTACGATGAAGAAGTTTCGACAAAACATTTACGAAGAAGTCTTGACAAAACATTTACGATGAAGAAGTTTCGACAAAACATTTACGATGAAGAAGTTTCGACAAAACATTTACGATGAAATTCATGAAAATTCATGAGGTGAGAAAAGAGGTGAGAAAACGGGTGAGATGTCACCTCTTCACCTAAACATTATTTTTGCTGAATTTAGCAACAAAATGAACGAGGTCAGGATGTATGTTGCTGAATTCATTCATAACACCCTTTGTAAGCTCATAAAATGCTTGTTTTGAGGTCGAGCCACTTTTGGCTCCACCGTATTCTTTCAACCTGAAGCATTTAATATATGTAAAAATATATGGTTTTAAAAACGTTTTTACTTCATGCAATGTTTTATTTCATGCAATGTTTTATTTCTGTGCCGTCTTCAAGTATGCCCCAATACTTACGCTTGGAGAGGACATGAACTTCGGAAAATACCTTATCTAGCTTAAAACAGCCCATCTTTTCACCGACCATTCCCATTTCAATGAGTTTGTTGTATCCTTCTTCGTTCGTCATGAGTGCGTCAATGTTCTCATAGTAAACCTTCACTTTGGATTTGACCTCGGAGAAGAATTTGTTGTAGTTGTCGAGGACTGCCTTTGCGAACTGAGGGTAAGACCAATGTTCGACAATAGGTTTTAATGTGGTTACTAAGCCACTTTGACCTTGAGTGAATTCGTACTTCAAAACAAAGGAAAAACCTTTCAACAAAGTTGTCGACCTTCTCATAATGTTTACTCTTCATCTCTTGAGGTTTTTTAATGGAATATCCCCATGTCGAATTCATAAGCAATTTGAGTGTCATTGCAAGTTTGGGGTTTGAAGCTTTCCTAATATCATACAGTTGTTGTATGACTTTTCCAACTGTATAGTTCCTTCCTGGGAACTCTCCATCTTCGTTTGGAATTCCAGTCGGGATATATTGGACAAACCTCATGTATGCAGCGTTAAGGTCGACATAGTATATTTTTTCGTTTGAGTCGAACTTGTCACAACCAATTGGTCCAGTTTGTGGAAATTCAAGTGAGTCTCTTATCTTCTGAGAAACTTCTCCTGTTATCTCATAAACATCGTCGAAGCAACCTGTTTCATATAAAACCTTCTGACCTAACTCAGATGCTCTCCAATACAATTTGACGTCAATTGGATGTCTCAATGGAAGTTTGTTTATAGCATCTTGAAGTTCTTGCAACCTCATTGGAAGTTCTTCTGGTTCAGGTTGGTATCCGAACAATCCAACTCCTTTTGGAACTGTGTACTTCTTTTGTGCTATAACCTTGTCCGGAACAACTTTTGGTCTTACCAACAATGAAAAGTTTGTTTCGTCTTTTGGTACAAAAGTTTCTGTCAGCTTGTCATCTGGAATTGGTTCCAACAAGCCTTTCTCGAAAAGAATGTTAACAGCTCTGACAATGTTGCACTTGCCTTTTCCGAACAATGGGTTTGTAAGACTTTCGTTCAACATGAAGTGGTTGTGGACAAGTACAATCTTCAACCATGGCAATTTGAAGTCAACAACATAGTCGTCGTGTGAAGAACCTTTCTCAGTCGGAATGTTGACTCGGATATTCACATTTGCCAACGGTGCAATTTTTGCCAATTGACCTCTGAGAATGTACCTTGTCTTCACACATGACTCAAGATACTTCATCTTCTCATCTGTAACAAGACCAGAGTTCCTGAGACATGTGAGAATACAAGGTTCATTGACAATTGTTTCAATTGAATTGTAAATTCCATACCTTGTCAGGTTAATGTCAGACTTATTTCTGAACGGGAAGTATCCAGCATGTTGTCTGACTGCTTGAGGGTTAGGTTGGTACCATTCGAACTTGACACTTGCAATTCCTTCAATTGCATTCAAAATGTCTGAGTCGGAGTCAACCATTTGTTCTCTCTTTGTAGTCTTGAAAGCGTCAAGAAGCATTGCAGCTGTTGTGACATTGCCATGTGCATAGTAAATGTGACCATCCAAATCTGTTATGGTCAATCTGAGATTGTATCCTTTCTTATTTCCGTCTTGTATGGCAGCAAGTACACCCATGAAGCCTTCTTTGTTCTTTCCTTCGTCAAAGTTTACTGTAAAGGTTCGACCAGATGTAATTTGACTTCTAACTTCACGATACTTTTCATATGCATATCTTGTTCTTTCCATGGGAGCATGACCATCCTCTGCACTACCTTTTTTCCTTCTCAAAGGATGAATTGTTCGTCATGTTTCCAGTAGAATCTGGCAAAGCCGTCGTGTCCTTCAACTTGAGGTTCACTAACATCGAAAGGCATGTTCATAAGACGTTCTTCTTCTAACCTCTCTAGTCTGTTTGGATAATTTGCACGTGCTGTTTCCAAATCCATTTCGTAGCTAAGACCAGCCAGTTTGTCATAGACTTTATGGTCTTCCTTTCTTATATTTAAACTTCTTCGAAACTCTCCAACCATATCTTTGCAACTCTGCTTTATTCTAGCAGACTTTCTATCCATTCTATATGGGGGCATTTTTATAAAAATAAAAAAATATTTTTTTTCTTTACTTTACATAACCACCTGCTGCCATAGTCTTTGACGCCAACCCATACCAGCTAATGAAGTTGACTTGGTTTAGTTTGGAAACTAAACTTTGGTTTTGGTTTATCTTCAGTTTTTGGTTTTTCTTCTTCTATCGTTTTTCGTCACTTTTCGTTCCTCTCTGATTTTTCCCCACCTGCAGGAACATTTGTGTCGTCAACATCTTCATAAATATCATATGCCATTTGTTTTTTGTTTTCCTTTCAACTTTTTTGTTGTTTAAAGTTTAGAATATTTCGACTCTAAGTCAATGAGATGTTCTATAATGAACTGTTTGGTCAGTGAAGTAAACTTTTCCATCTGTTGTCTCGAAAGCTCCTTCAGACTTCAATATTTTATTTGTGAGAGTCTGTTTCTTTTTGAGATACTAGCCGTTCCATTTCTATGAAAAGTGACTTTTATAGTTAGGGTTGTATTTCCAGACCTGGCACTTTCTATTATTGAATTTTTCTCTTCATCTGTAAGTTCTTTGACAGGTTTTGACAATGGTTCTGAACTTTTTGTTTGTGGTGTCAAATCTACCGTTTCAACTTCTTCGGTCATTTCATCTCAGTAAAAAATTTTAGTTGGTTTGTTTTCAACTGGTTGTGTTGTTTTTAAGTCGGTCTTAAAACTTCCTGAGGTATAGGAAGAACTTGACAAACACGTTGTGTAACTGCTGGAAGCCGACAAATCCATCTTGAACCCATTTGTCTCAATGCTGTATTGTTCATTTCATCTCAGTAAAAAACTTTACATTCCCCACGTTTGAGGCGGTTGAGGTTTGTTATTGTTTACCCACTGTTGTGCATGGTTATATCCTCTGTTAAAGAATCTTTCACCTTGGTCCATATAGTGTCCTGCTTGGTTATAGTAGTCATTTGCTTTGTTATAATAGTTTCCTGCTTGTCTTCCTACATTGTCCATCCATCCTTGAACTTTTCCTCTTGTTTCAGGATTTGGAATAAGATTTGTTGCATCTCGTGCTACCTCCCAACCTTTCTGTACAGTTTGTATAATAGGTTGTGCTTTCTCTTTCAGTATACCTAATGTACTCAAAATCTTCCTTCCAACTCCAAATACACCTCTGGCTATTGTTCCCACTGCGGGTAAAAATCTGGATGCAACTCCTGCTAACGCGCCAAATAAACCCATTTCTTATGGGTTAAAAAATGACGAATCCAAACAAGGACCCCTATGTTTCTAAAGCGACAAAGAAAGCACTCATGGTAAAAATCTTTAGTTCAACACAAAATGCTTGGTTTATGGATATCTTGGAAAACATTCCGAGGTATAGAGAAGATGGACCACCATACTGGCTAATATTTGTCGGTCAAAACACAAGATACTGTGAAGCCATACCATTACAGTCCAAAATAATTTTAGATATCTTAGCAGCTTTGACAATATTCGTTGACAAATACAATCCAACAAAACTAACATCTGACTGTGAAAGTTCTTTCAAATCAGACGATAAAAAACTATCTGCGTTCAAAAAATGTAAACCAATATTTCATTGTCGACCAAAACCATTCTGCTCTTGGTGTCATTGACGGTTGTATAAAAATGTTAAGAGACTTAAACCAACCACAAGGTGGTGAAGCAAATGAAATGTCATATGACGACAAATATAGACACTTCTCCATGGCAAAGATGAGACAAGTTTTAAATATTTACAATAGCCGTAAACAAAAAGGTTTGGGAAACCACTCCCCTGAAGAAATGAAAAACAACCCTGACTTAGAGAAAGACTATATATTTAATAATTTAGTCAAAAGAGACAAACAAGAAAGAATGCCGGGCTTCAAACCTCAGAAAGGTGACAAAGTAAAAATAGAAATACCTAAACGCGACCCATATGAAAATACTATTGACTATGACAACAATGGAACTCGACAGGTACTCGCATTCGTGTTCGTAAAAATAGAAGAAAGTATACAAGAGAATATTATGAAGTTTTAGGCAAACATGGCAAAATGTACAGACTGCAAGCAGAAGATAAAACTACTATTGTCAGACCTCGTTTCA